CACAGCATCATCTTTCATAGTTCCAACAAAATTGACTTGATGGCTTTCTAATGAAATATAATTAATCAAGGGGAAGGTTTTAGTAGCTTATGAATTGCTATCATCTTGGTATTTAACTTCTAATCATCAGTTACACTTGCTGCACTGTTCCCATTTTTTTTCATTCATATGATTTTATTGGACATACATATTTTGCACCTGAGCAATTAGATGTGATTGCTGTTATGTATTGTTTTATTGTAGTTCATACTTTTGTCTAATTCATTGAATCCTACTTAATACATGCCTTTTTTTCTTACTTTGGAAAAATAGTTCTTTTTTATTCTAGTGATACTTGGCAATACATTAAAGTGGGCTCTTTTGATGTGTCTGCAAAACCCTGTTCTCAATAGGGCAACAAGTGTTACTTCAGCAACAGCATTAATAATCATTAAGCCTTTTTTTCAGTTTGTTAAACTGGGTGCATGTAAGGTGCTGTATTCCCTAGGAAATTTATCCCAGGAATTGCAAAGCTGTATGGCTGCATTTTTCATGGGGTTTGTGGCTGTGCTGGGCCACTTCCTCAGATCTCAGGAATATTACTAAGGCCAGTGAATGGTGGAATCCATGGTGCGGTTCCTGTGCTCTGTCAGAACATGTCTTTCACTCTGTAGAATAAGAACAGCCAAAATGGAAATTAGTATTTTTTTGCAAGAGGCTGGACCAACAGGCATAAAAGTATCCACAGAAGAGACGCTTACGGTTGAAGCAGTGCTTTTGCTGTATACACATAGAGTTTGCATGTATCTTCAATATTACTCTAGTAGAATTTGCGTAATTTCTATAATTTTTATTACATTATAAGATGTGAGACTAGGCAACATCTCAAAAGTTAATATAATCTCTAGCTCTAATCCTGATGTTTCACTAATTTCTCATTCTGTGGGCAGTGAGTAGACTCACACTGAGTGAGGGAGAATAAACAACCTCAATATCTTGTAGCAGTACCATTACAGAATCACAGAATCACAAAACGGTTGGGATTGGAAGGGACCTCTGGAGGTCATCTTGTCCGACCACACTGTTCAAGCAGAGCCACCAAGAGCCAGTCACCCAGGATTCTTTCCAGACAGCTTTTGAATATCTCCAAGGATGGAGACTCCACAAGATCACTGGGCAACTTGTGCCAGTGCTTGGTCACTCTCACAGTAAAAACGTGTTTTCTGATATTCAGAAGAAACCTCCCATGTTTTGGTTTGTGCCCACTGCCTCTGGTTCTGTCACTGGGCACCACTGAAACAGCCTGGCTCTGTCTTCCTTGCACCCTCCCTCCAGGTATTTCTATACATTGACAAGATCCCCCTGGGCCTGCTCTTCTCCAGACTGAACAGCCCCAGCTCTCTCAGCCTTTCCTCATAGGTGATGCTCCAGTCCCTTCCTCACTTTCATGGCCCTTGGTTGGACTCCCTCCAGTCTGTCCATGTCTCTCTTACTGAGGACCCCAGAACTGGAACAGCAGTGTGTGGCCTCACCAGTCCTGAGGAGAAGGAATTAGAGATTTGTGCAGATGTGTCTTTTAAGTTTATTGATTCTTGTTTTTCCTCTTTTTTGCCCTTCCTCCATGTTTCTTTGAAGACAACTCTTCAATCTATAATAAAAGTCTGAAGATATTTTGTTTTACTTCTCAGCTTTACTTTTTTTCCAGAGAAAACCCCAATTCTTTCAATCTTTCTTCACTGGTTACATTTTCTAAGCAGTTTATGAGTCATCCTTGACCTTCTTCAAGTTCATTTTTAGTGGGTGTGTAAATATGCATATAACATCCAAAATTAGGCACCATATTCTTCCAGAGGCTCCACCAGTGCCAGGTTCATCAAAATAATTACCTCCATGTCTTCTGTTTGCTAGTTCTGAGTACAACCTAGAATTAGTCTTTCTTCTTTTGCAGCAACATTGCATTCTTCTTTTAATTCCCCAGAATTTCCCAAGCTTTTTCTTCATTATTTGAAAGTTATTCTCCAATTTGGTTTTGCATCTTTGTTCTGGGGGGTTGTTTTGGTTTTTGTTTTGTTTTGTTTTGGTTTTTGTTTTGTTTTGTTTTGTTTTGTTTTGTTTTGTTTTGTTTTGTTTTGTTTTGTTTTGTTTTTTTTCCTTCCCTAGGTGTACTTTTTGCAGTTGGTCTTGGAGTATTTCATCATGTTGATTTCTGAACATTACTTCCACCAGTCAGTGTCCTCTCCCTTCCTTTCGTGTTATCTGCAAAAATTTTGTGTGTTTTTTATTTGACCACATAGGTGTTCATGAAAATATGGACTGTGGACCCATCATATCTTTGTGATACATATCTCAAGATATTTTCCTGTTTGATAACTACTTTTTGAAAATGGATTCATCTCATTGGATACGTACTCCCATTCTTCATTGCAATGATTTTATCTGCACTGATGTTTTCCTTTTTACATTGAGATAATGTCAGCTAGAACTGTGTAACAGTTTTAACAAATGTCAAAATATGCTACACTTTCTCCTTTCCTTTGTCCACTAAGCCAGTTACCCTGTAAAAGAAGGAAATTACATTAGTTTGACATGATTTGATTTTGACAAATCCGTGGTGGCTGTTAGTTATCATTTTAATTATCTCTAAGGTGTTTATAACTGGATAGCTTAATATTTTTTTTGGTATCTTTGTGAATATCAAAATTAATTCTATAACTCACTGGGCTCTGTTTTGCTGGTTTATATATATAGTTGTATATGCACAAATATATATACATATATATCTGTGAGTGTGTGTGTACATATATATATGGCTGAAATGTTTCCCTTTCCATAGTCATCTGGAATCACCCTTATCCTCTGTGAGTTCTCAAAAATGATTATTAATAGTTCAGAGATTTTGTTTTATACTTTCAGAATTTCATTATTCCATTCAGCACTGAACTGAAACAACCATCTCCTTTCTCCTCCTTTCCTGACTAATATGCCTGAGGTAGCTAACATGAGTGAAGAAAACTTCATTTGTTCCATAGCAAATACTTTTCTTGAGGCAGGAGTGAAGCTTTGACAGGACTTGGCTCCTTACACTTGAACATATTTGTTGATAAATGAGCTAATAAAAGCAATGTATCCATTTTGTAAAGTTTTGTGGTGTCTAAAGAAGCATTCACTGAGGTAGATAGCTGCATAAGCACATGGTGAAGTCTGCCTTATGTTAGTACCTTGTATGGAGAAAAAAATATTTAAAAAGAAAAAAAGTACAGGTATTTAGCATGCAAAAGACACTTCATGGCTGTCAGCAAAAGCCAGTCATATTGAAGCAAGCATTGTGGAAAAAGCATGAGACCACCTAAGTAGTCACATTATTGAGTGTGTATCTACAAGTGAATAAGATTATATGGTGACAGCAGCTCTCAGGATTCAGCTGAACCAGAAAAAGGAACCAAACCTGCAGGTCTCAATGAGAAATGGGACCACACACCTATGTGCACATACAGCCAGTGGACTCAGCCAGATTTTTTAGTCTTTGTGTATTGTTTATGCTTCTGAGCCATGGGTACATTTAGAAGGAAAGAAAGGAGATGATCCAAATCCTTTAATCTCATAGCCTTACAAGAAAAAAGACATACAAACCAAATGCACATGTTTCTGTTTAATTAAGTATACTTCTGATGGTGAAGTTTCTTGTGAGCATGGATTGCTTGGTCATTATAATGTGAGCAGTATGGGCAGTAATCTATAGATATCTACATCTCTGTGCTATGGCCGAGAAGCAAAGACACCAGAAAGGAAAGGAAGAAATCACTGTACAACTTTAGTCTCTGTGGCTATTTTTCAGCCTCTTTGGCAAACTCTAGAGCTCGACATCCATCTACCAGGGAAGATGCTTAGTGCGATGATGATGCCTCTGTGTTGCAGAGAATCCACCATTTCCTCACTTCTGGTCTACCCTAGTTCCACTTTGAACCTGGTATTCAGGACAAGAGAAATGACTGTGCACAGCAAAATGCTTTTAGCAAAACTGTAGCATTCCTGCTGCGTCTGGATTTGGGCAAAACTGAAGGCAAAACAAAAGGAATGAATTAGTTTGGAGAATGCTATTAAAGCTTGGAAAATGAACTCTGTGCAGTATGAACTGCACAGAAATTGTTGGCTTTCGAATCAACCTTAAATTCTTTGGCAAGTAAGCCACATAAGCCTGTTACAAACCACAAATATATTTGACTTTTGCCCAAATAGTCTTTATCCTTTCTGATTTGTTGCTGGATGTCATATTTACCCATTTCGTTTTGGAAATAAGTATTCTGTCTGAAAATGTTGGCTGCTTTGTAAGAAAAAAGAAAAAAAAAAAAAAAAAGGGAAATTACAGTTTGTGGCTGTTTTTTGTCATACATTGGACCATCTGAAGTGAAGAGGAGACACAGCTCTTCAGCACAATGTGTAGATGCAGTGTATTCCTTAGAAATTAATACAGTTTCATGATACTGCTGTGAGTTTAAACAATAGCAAATTGCCATCTGAAATCTGTAGAAGTTAAAAAAAAAAAAAAAAGAAAACCAAAAACAAACAAACCAACAAAAAGAACTAAGGAAGTTGCATTATAAATATAAGGAATGAGTGACAGAGCTGGAAATTGAATCCAGTGATCCTGGCTTCTGCTCCCTGATCTGAGCTCCCTGTCAAAAACTGAGAGCTCTGTATGTTTCATATAACAAGGTAATGACAAAAATGTTAGGTTTCGAAAAGGTAGCATATTTCCAATTAAATTTCAGGATAGTTTTCTGGGGAAAAAAAAAATCTCTAATCTATGAACTACATTTCTTCATTGTTAAGTTTCCTAGACAGCTGGCAAATGTTTTCTAACTAGAAACGCTGTATATGAAGAGTAATAAAAATAAAAATATCTAGGGAACTTATAGTAGGGAACCATGACTGTGGAAAGGAAAAGATAGAACTGAAAATTTGAATCTACAATGTATAGTATTTCTTTGCAATAAGATTTTACTTTTGATCCTTTTGTTCAGAGTCTTTGGGCATATTAGTTACCGTTCAGACTGGGAACTGGTGAAGGTGGACTTCAGACCATCCTTCCCCAGGGAGTGCACGGATGATGACTATGAGTCTTGGGAGCTCACAAATCTACAGGTATTCACAGTCTTATGTTAACTGACACAACTTTTCTGTAGCTTTCAAATTAATGTAAAACTGTGTGCTAGGAAGATGCTTTCAAATTGAATTTGGATGCTACATCCCCAGCTTTGATCTCCTTATGTTGGTATTTGCTGATTTTACAATAGTTTAAAATGGGAGAGGATTCTGTGTTCCATTTGGTTGTGTGATTTGTGTCTTGGGAAAGGCGGAAGTACATCTGGTGGTATGCTGTAATAATAGGTGGTCCTGCTGGATTATGAAGCATATACCATAAACTAAAGTGTGTAATATTGATTGAAACAATTTCAACATGCAGTCATGTGTTCTGCCAACTTCCTGACCACATACAGTACTCATATATAAATTGCCATAAGTAAAGCCCATTCCAGAAGTAATTTAGGATCTCAGTGGACCAATCATGTAATGGAGTCCAGTTGTTTTAGACAATCCCATTTCTGCACTAATGCATTAAGGCTGTGTTAATCTGGCTGCTCTGGCCAAATCCAATTTTGGGAAGCTACATACTCTATACAATGTATTGATTAAAGAGACCAATGTGAGGCAGTTTTTTACATTAAAGGGAATATGTCATATTTATTCATAATCATTCTGATTATTATGTTTTGCTTCTTCCAGTACATTTGTTCTCTCACTCTCTGCAGAGTTATTTGTGGGGTTTTTTTCCTATTACTCTGTGTTACTGAAGCTCTACGGCTCTCATTTACTAGTTCTCATGCCTAATTTTACACTTATTGTTTGGGAATGCTGTGTATTTACAAATAATATTATGCAGATCTGAGCCTAAAGAGTAACAGTACCTTGGGATATTGGCATTGAAATGTCTTTCAGAAATTAGAAACTACTAACATGACTTTGAAAGTACTTGCAGCTGCCCAATTACCAATGGAGTGTATTCATATAGTCTTCATCCTACCTGTGTCCACATGGTTGGTGCTTCATGTTGACTGCCGACATGAGACATGGTATTTCACGTAGAACTTCATCCAATCTACATCCACACTGAATTTTTAAATGGCCAGTTTTAGGGTTGTGCCTAGATTGTGTAAACATGAAACATGGGTTAAATTGAGGTTGAATTTTCATGTACATCTTTGGATTTGTGCCCTGAAATATAGCATATACTGCAACTCTGTAATGGCCCGTTAGTGGATAGCAGTGGATATGAGAACTTTCTATACCTATACATTTGAATATGAGAGAGTTGATAGAAGGTTACAGTCTTGGCAGCAAGACCAGCCTTTCTCAGGACAATATAAGGTCACATCTGTGTGATGTAGGTTATGCTGTGCAATAAATCCAGTGCTTTGATGTTCAGGGGGATCGTTGCATCATGGGCCAGCAGAGGAGCTTTCGAAAGAGGAAGATTTCATCATGGTGCATTAAAGGGAGGAGTTTCACATCAGCTCTCACATCCAAAGTTTGTGAATGTGTGAACTCTGATTTCTTATGGTGAGTATGTCTGTGAAACTTTAGATTTATTCATAGTAAATAGTTACTTAGAGTTTCAGATGGGTTTATTTTCCTCCTTTTGCTCCTCTCCCCACAGAGCTGTGTATAAACAAATAGGCAACCCTTTCTATTTACCTATGAAGAAAAAAACAAAACAAAACAAACAAATAAACAAAAAAAAACCCAAACAAACAGGAAAAAAAAAAAAAAAAAGAAATGTGTTAGTTTCAGTGGCAAAGAAAACCTTTTAAAAACCTAAGCTATCAAGAGAGTTAATTTGCAGAACTGACAAAGTAATTACAAACAGTTTTTCCCCCAAGAGTACTCAACTCCTGTTGAAATTAGACTTAGCACAAAACTGGTTTCATCAGCTTGTATCTTCAGCTGGTAGAATAATACTAAAAAAAAATTCTTTTTATTCTTAAAATGTAGTCTCATCTACCCCAAATTAGACTGCTGAATGAAGTGGGTATAGTAACACACTTGATGTTGATGTTTTTCAGTGATTATGGGTTTGAGCGCTCTGCACCTCTGAAGTCAGAGTCTAGCAAATGCTTTGCTGACTTTTGGTTTAACCCAGAAGCGCCTCCTGAGGACTGCGTGCTGGGGCAGGCATACACCGGCAGCACTGGGTAAGATGATTTTGCGTCCAACTGGCTTGCAGAGGCTTCCAAACAGGAGAACATTCTGACCAAATGCTACAAAAGTGGTTTGAAGGAACTGTAAATAAGGCAAAATAAAAACTGGGAAATGTCAAAGTTCTGACTCTAACTTAGAACATGTGCAGAAGCTTCCTACAGACTAATGAAAGAGAAATGCAATTTTATGTGTTCACAGCAGTTCAAAAACTAATCCATTTGAGAATAGGGAGATCTGTCTTGTTCTCAGTATTTTTTTAATAATTATTTTGTAACATTTCATAGCCATTTTTACACTTCTGATAGGAACGTCCATTCAGAGCCTTTTCTTTTAGTCCATTGCTTGGGTTCAGAATCATTTTCAGTTTGATTCCAATGAATTATTCTGAGGAGACAGTAACATCTCACAGAACTTCCCAGTCTCTCACTTCCAGCACGGATAAGGAGTTCTGTGGAGAATAGATTATTTTCCTGACCATATGGGACACAGAATCAAAGGAAAGCACTAGTAATTGTAAACAATACTGCATAGAATATACATTACAATATAGTCTGACGTCTGTGCTGAGAATAACTTGCAGCTGGCATCTATTCTGGCTTATCATAACATCATCTCTGTTGGCTGTGGAGATGAGAACCAAATGATGAAATGTCAAATCTGGCAATAGAATCACAGTCTCTGTGTATATTTGCCTTACCAAGGAAAATGATGCCTTTTGGGCTGTGGCTGACAGCTGTGATATACAGAATAGGAATCCAAAAGAGTGAAATCTGACACCGATTTTTAAAGGATGTTTAAAAATAACATACCTGAGTGAAACTGATCTGTAAATAATTACTGTACACATCCAAGTATTTAATTATGTGGTCTTTAAAAGTGTTAGGCTTTTCACTCTTTTATACTGTTATGTTAAGTAAATGCTTTAAATATTTTAAGAGATGTGTAGATTTGAGAGCAGCAGTTAAGCAATCCATTCTGGGTTAATGCAGAAGCTGCTTAGTCTAATTTCTTCCTGTTCTTTGGGGTTTGAACTAAGACCTCTAGAGGACTGAAGACTGTTGAATGCTAGCAAAGGGTATGGCAGAGAGGACAATACACTATCTAGTTCCTGGAGGGATGGTCAGGTATGTTTCTAAATTTGAAAAGGCAGACTCTTGCAATGCATACAAGTGAAATCCACATCATGCTCCACATCATTTCTTCAGCAGGTTTTACTTAGTAAAGGCAATGTCCTTCATCAGAGTACTTGCATTGTGAGTTGGTTTTGATCATCTGAAATCTTGTCTGTGAACCCAAGGAATATTCATTAGCTACCATCACACATTCACTGCCTCTGATGGCATTCTCCTGCTTGCCTCTGATTCACTATACTCACTGCTTACTGGTTTTGCAGGTACAGAAAAGTTGTTTCTAATGTGTGTGAAGGTGGCGTAGACCTGCAGCAGAACTTAGCACAGCATATGTGTCCACTGATTGCTCCCAAAGGACTTCATATCAGCATCAGAGAAGAAAGCCTGACTGTTAAGCCTGGGGAAGACATCACCTTCATCATCAGACAAGAGCAGGTAGTAATGAACATTTGCTTTAGGAAAGCTTCCTCTCTGTTTTTAGGGTTCATTTTGCTCTTACTTGCTTTGCTGCTGACTGAAGATTAATTTGTGCTTGAGATGAAGATGAATGACTCTCTAAATATTGAAACTTCTGTTTTCAAATGAATCAAACAATCCCGTAAATTCAGTGAACCACCAAGTTGTTCCCCACAGAATGGGATTTGTCTCCTCAGCAGCATAGCCAGTCATTATTCCTTAAAGTCAGTGACTTCTTGGAACATCAAAGGAACTAAATTATGAAAGTCTCCTTGGACTGAAAATTTCAACTGCTGTGTCAGAGAAGAACAGAAATGCAGAGAACATTTAATATTCTGGTTTAAGTGTTTTTGAGAGTCTGCCTTTCAGAAAGGAATGAGGCAAAGCTTTGCAAAAATAAGCAAATAGCACAGCATAAGAACATTTATTATATATTAGTTGTATTGCCAAAGGTATGGGGTTTTTTTCTGCTTATTGAGAGAGATAGTGCCCTGAGGCCCTGACCAACAGCAGTGAGTAACTTTTGGATTATTTGTTTGCCATGGGTATGTTTCCTAATGCTTGGTTTTTAGCATTAGGCTATAACTGCTGTGCTCAGGTTACCAGAGTATTGTACTTCCTGGTTAACCCCACTGATTTACAAGAACTTGAAGAAGTTCACAGATTTTGGCAAACCTGTGCAATATAAATCAGGTGCTTGGGATTTATTTCTGTAATGGAATCAAGAAGGCTACATGCAGAACACAGGGCTGCTTAACACTTCGCAGGATCTGCACCCCAATGCTTGCAGTGCCCCAACAGTTTGTGTGTCAAGTTATGCTGCCTTCTCTTTTCATAATTTGTTTAGAAATGTTTATTGTAAAAATAGAGCATTCGGTTGCAGTTTGGACTCCAATGATTTTTATTGGCAGTTTGACTTTTCTTTCCTACTGAAGCTTTCAGGAATCTCTGTGGCAATACATAGAACATTTAAAACTATTCAAAAATCTTCATAAGTGAGGGATCTTGAAGGGAATCCCGTGCTGTGTTTTCTGATGAAATCTTTGCTCAGGACATCGAAGCGGAATGCAGATTTAGAAGAAATGTAGCGTTTTGCTGCCCCCTATGGCTAAAAATAATGTTTATACTCAAATGTCCTGACTGTTGCTTAGGGTTTAATGTATACAACAAAGTCTAATGAAAATTCATAACAATTACTGAGTTTAAGAAATAGCTCTGATAGGGTAAACCAAAACATACCACTTTCTGTGCTGAACAAAAATAATTTCCTAGTTTATGTGAATGCATGTTATTAGGTGCAGGAATGCCAGACATCAAGGAGTAAGGAAAGCAGGCTTCAGATATGTTTGGGCAGTTTGCAAGTGACATATAGAAATAATAATAGTTTATAATTATCATTATTTTTTTCCCAAATTCTGTTGGCTGAATGTATGAATAAATAATGTCATGACAGTCATCTATTTTACATGGAAGTAGAAGCCCCAATTCCTTTCGTACTTACCTGCATTTTTCTTATGTGACTCTTCTGTTATCTGTCCACTGGCCTCTGTCTTTCCTGGTCAGGGAAACAAGTACCTTGGTGTTTTGAAGACAACACTCTTATCTTTACACTAGGGAAGTTGTTAGAATAAAACATTAAGAGAAGCTTGCATCTACTGGCGTTCAACACTGTTTTCTGTCTCACCTGGAAAAAAACATGCATGTATATTTGTTAGCATAAGGAAGAGCGAACAAGAACTGTTTGCAAGCTAATGTCATCTAAAGAGATTCCACTTACTGGCACACTGCTGGCAAAAAGACATCTCTTTTGCTTTAAATTTTAATAACGTATTATCTCCTCTGCTAAATTCTACCCATCTGTTGTCAAAAGAAAGATGTTATTTGGAAAAAAAATATTCACAGTGAAGAAGCTTTCAAGGTCCTTTATGTGTGTTGAAATATGGTGTTTATGTATTTGATAACCCCACAGGTTCCTTATTATGGGTAATCTTTTACATTATAAGTAATGCTCTTTCATCTGATAAAACATGGAAGAAAATCAACCAAACTGCAGAATAATAAAAAGAGGAAATAATAGTACGTTTTCCTTTGTTGCCTCTTTTGATTTTACATTAGTGCTGCCTTTTGGGATTAGATTTTGATATAAACCTATTTCAGCGAGTGGCTTATGGGGAAGTGATTTTTGAATACTTTGATGAGTGTCAATCTTTCTCTGCTCTGATGGCCATTCAGGTCACCTGATTAGCATATGGATGTATATGTTTCTTTCTTAGAGGTAATGAAGATTTTTATACCAACACTCTGTTTTTACAATACAGAGGATTTTCTACCAAGCCTGGCCCTGAAACCTATTTTAATGGCATGACTGTTATGGCCATGTACCATGTCAAGAGAACAGTGTCATATTGCTGAAGACAAAAGAAGCAGGCCAACTCACTAAGGCAGTGCTCCCAGTAGTATTGAGAAAGTATTGATGCTCATGGCTAAAATTAATTTTTCTTTGACTCCATCCCCATTGCCAATCCACATAGCACAGGCGTGACTTCTCTCCTGGGCAGCCACACTGTGACAATATGAGTGATGGGCATATGTTTATCCTCTGACAGTAGTATCAGTCTTGCAGTATTGTAGGCCTGAGTTTGGGAAGACAGTGTCATTTAAAAGAACACTTAGCAGAAGTGCAATGAATTATAAATTCTGTGAGATGTTTGACATGACATAATTATTTGGCTGGACATTTTAACCCTTTCCCAAACTCAGCTCAATAATCTGCTTCATTAAACATGCATCTAATTTTGCAGTAGAGCGTGTTAGTTCTAGACTTGCTGGTAGCTCTATATAAAACAGTACAACTGTTTGCGAAGATCCCAGCTTGGATCTTGAAGGCCATATGGCTGACACTCAGAGGGTATGGTTAGAAGGTGCTGTGAAGAAGGTCTAAATCAACTAATTTTACTTTATAATTGCATAAGGTAGAGGTTCACTGGATGAGTGGCAATTCACTAGAATAACAATATTCAGTTGTTTGAAATCATATGAGCATCACTCCAGAACTTGGGGCTGCCCAGCACCATTCATTCTGTTAGTTTATGTCCTGCTGTGTTGAGACAAGAGTGATGGTTTCTGTGTCATACAACTTGGCTAGTAGTCTGGGGTTTCTTATCTTAAGGTAACACCTTAATGTGGAAATTTTGGTTGTTATCTCTGTTAATGCACACAACATCTGTTTCACTAAAATCTTTGCCATGGGTGTAGTGGTTTTACTGCAACTATTGCAATTGAGTCAAAATATCTGGCTGGGGCTGCAAATGCTGTTGTGATTCAGGAAATGGTTATAATCATGTGTTCTGTCTATTTCAGTTCTGTCCATTTAAAATATTTTTGGTATATTTTCCTTTTAGGGTGATACATTGAATACCAAGTACCAGGTAGATCTTGGAGATGGCTTTAAGGCAATATATGTGAACCTTACGATGACTGGAGAACCCATCCGTCACCGCTATGAGAATCCTGGGATTTACCGTGTCTCCGTGAAGGCTGAGAATGTGGCTGGGCATGATGAGGCTGTGGTATTCATCCAAGTCAACTGTAAATCAACTTCCTTGTTTTCTCACTTTTGCTGCTATGTAAAAGTGTCATGACAGCTATGAAGTAGTAAAGAAAAGTACTAGTCACGATTAGGAAAAATGCATATTTTTCCAATAACGTCACACAGTCTTGCAGTGATGTCTGGTTTTAATGCAGAGACTTGTAAATCTAATGTATTAGGAGGTCAGAGTTAGTTTTGCTTGGAGTTGGAAGAAGGATGGTGTATTAAGCTTTTAAATAGCAAGCATACCTCAGTTCAAATCTCAGGTTTGATCCATCTTCCTGACTCAAGACCTCATTGGCAGACTTAGCAGCTAAAATTTAACACGTCGAGCTGTGTCTTTTTAGGAGCTTCTAGTTGCTGTGTGAAGCAAGTGAACAGATGTATTGAGATATGTATGAGCGTTTGTATGATTTTAAAAAGAATCAAAATCTCAGGGTTTCTAAAAGTCAGGCTACTTATTAAAGTACTAGAATCTAGATTTGAGGTAGTTAATTCTCACAAAGTTTCAAAGTGGCACTTAGGTATAACTTTATGTTGGCAGGTAGTATTACTTGACTTCTCTCCCTCTCCATAATTAAGACCTAAAAAAACCCATCAAATAGATTTAAAAGAAAAGAATAGCATGTCACAGGAAATATCATGCACCATCATGCAAGCTTAATGTACCTCTGTCATCTCATAATTGAAAAGAAGGAAACTCATAACTGGAACTGAATTTTCCTCTTCCTTCAAGATTCAAGACAACTATTGCTTTGCCTGTTTTCAGATGTGTCAAAAATTCAGACAAGTAACATCAAAAGAAAAGATAGTCATCTTGCATTCTCCAGGTGTCTGTTTCCATCTGCTGAGAGTGGTGTGTCTTCCATCCTAATCCCAAACCAATGGAAATCGCTGGAGTTACATTCAAGGCTATGCACAGATCCACGTGCTTTATGTCAGCCTGTCTAGTGACTGCTTATATTTATGTATTTTACTAGTCAGCGTCCTTGAGTCCAGAGTTTCCAGTTCTGCTTTGATTAGCAGATAGAGTCCAAACCATTAATGCTAATGGCCAATCTCCTATTAAAATCATATGGAAAGGATCAGAATTGAATTCTCCACCCCAGTTTCATTATCTCCTTCTATGTTGTGTTTTTGTTTTTTAAGCCATTTGACAACTCCAGGGAGCTCAGATAAATTAGATAGGACTTCCATGTTACTTTTAGAAGCTCATAGTTACTGAGAAGTAGATTAAGCCCAGGAACAGTAGATCTGTACAGGCAACAAAGAGCAAAATCTCTGTGTAACATCCTTCTCTCTCGGGAGAACAATTTCTTACCGTTCAGAGAATGACAAGCAGTAGCAAGCCCTGATGGAAAGCTGAACAACCACTTTCTCAAAATGTGCTTCTGGTGTGGCCTACATCAGGGTAAGCAATAAAAATAAAAGATGGTGATTGTGTTTTATGCAGTGGATTTACAAATTGCAGAAGCTGGAGGTATTTTTCACAAATGAAATGACTGGTGCATTAAGAGGACTTTGGTGCCAAAGTGCAGAGGCAGCAGAGCACTGAAAGCAGACGTGGTCTGTTCCTGAGCTTGTCTGTGGATGTCGCATGTGGTCTAGAAGGCTCATGGAAGCATGTTACTCAGCCCGCTTGAATAAATGTTTTCTATGTGATTTACTCTGTTTAATTTTTTTTTAAGTGAATTGTAAGGTTTGAGGAAATTAGCTGGCACTAACTAAACTTCTATTTCTACATTAAAGAGAAACACTAGTAACGTTCAGGGACATTTTTCACTGTGGAATACCATGAAAGCAGAAACATCCATAGAGACTGTTTTCAATCTATCTCCATTTGGTGTATTCCCAGAGAAGTTTTTCAGGAGCAAATTGTAAAGGGAGTATTTTTTATTCCTGCTAAGTTCTGTTGCTATGGGACACCCTGTAATGCAGGCCAATTATATGAATTTGACCTTGTCATCCAGATTACACTTTCTGATCCAGATCACACAATCTACAACTTGTCAGTGAACTGTAAGAGAAATTAGAGCAAGTCTCATAGTATAAATGTGAATAGGTAACTCAGAATAAAAAGAACTGAAGAATTAGTTAAACATTTCCTTTATCATGAAACCATAATCTCTATAGTGAGTGAATAATCAGGGAGCTTTGGAAACTACTGAAATTATAGCTTTGTTAAACAGAAATTGTTTAAGTCAACTTCATTCCTTGTTGTACACACTGACGGGTGCTATGAAGCTTCTTAAAATGCATTATGAAATTGTGTGACTGAGACAAGCAGAAGGACTCACAGTAATTATTTTTAGCTCTTTAATCTATAGGAATGGCAAACTTGAAATAACAGTTACCATTCCAGTACCAAAAAACTTCTCTAAAACTTTGGAAAAGGAAAGTAACCTTCTTCAGGAGAAAACTCATACCTTAATATGATCAGTTTCCTCTGGGAAAATTAAAATTTATGGCAAGATAAAAACAGTGATGCAGGTCCCTCCAGACTTCTTTAATTTCTGTCATCAAAAGGAAAATCTATTTATAGGAGAAACAAATATAGTGGAATTCCTACAATTTCTGAATTTTCCTCAAGACACCAGCAAAAGGATAGCGTTTTAACTCTGTTTCAGCAAAGAAGCTAGTGAAGAAACCATTTGTTCAAAATCCAACATGTCTTGAATTCATGTAGGTGGTTAAAGAGTCATCGGAGAAAACACGGAATGAAAGTGTTTTGGATGAAGCAGCCCACAGACTGGTTAAAGTGAGGCGGAAAAGGAGGGTGTGCACAGCTCAGACAGCTTGCTCTCAGAGTTCAGTTTAGTGAAAGTGATTTAGAAGTGAACAGGCAATGATTCAGTTAATGAAAGAGAGTAGGAGAAAGACATTGGACTGGTGTTAATTACCTTTAAGTTTGAACTGAGATGAAAGACCTCTGAATGAGTTAAAAGATAATTAGAATGGAACAAAAATAGATGGGTTAGTATTCATTCTGTGTGACAAATGCATGTTGGACCATACAGTGGTTTGGTATTCTGGATAGATGGTGCAGCTGAAGCTAAGAAATTCTAGTTATCACATTATACTATTATAAAGCTTTTACCTCCAGACATTCTGAGAAAGATACACTCAGAAACCTGCAAGGGAAAGATTTTCTTTTAATAAAGTTGTTGTAATATGAAGCAAAATGCAACATTAAGAAGCAGATAAAATCATTGTAGTGATGCATTTACTCTATACAAATAATAATGTTTACAGTCTTCGTAGGCAAAAGTTCAGAAAGGAATAAACTTACTCTAAGGCACATTTTGGAGTACAGAGATTATCTATTTTGATTTGCAAAGAAATGCTCCCCTGATGTCCACATCTATTTTAAAACATGCATTAATGAGATTTTATGTGTGGTGTGAGCCTAAGAGCTAATATTTTATAATGAAAATGAGTAGTCAGCAACATTATTTTTCAGTTTTCTGCTTTTCACTTAGCAGTTTGAGATTTGTTAGATTTCTACTAATTTGAACTTTTATTACTTAAAAAAAAAAAAAAAAAAAAAAAAAAGAGCTGATTGCCTTTTCCATATTTTAACAAGGATATTTGCTTATGTCTTCTAGACTTGGACGTGGACCAAAAAAAAAGTGCATCAGAGGTGCATTTTGTTGATCCGTCTCATTGCTCTAGGATTTTGCTTGAGTTTTTTGTTTGGTTGATCGTTTTGGTTGGTTGGTTGGTTGTTGTTGTTGTTGAAATTAGGTCCTTCCAATGATGCCTGTAGCTTTCAACACAGATGTAAAAGCAGGAGGGAGGGAAAAATCAATTCAGAATGTTATGATGTGCAGGTGAGAGGCTTTTGGGGAAAGTGGCATTAATGAATCGATGGATTATTGTTCAATGGTATTTTGGGAACTTTGTTCAGCTCCACTGCAGGCTTTAAATTTAGAAGTGGTTCCAGTCATTGGGAGAAACCAGGAGGTGAACCTGACAGCCATCATACTGCCTAAGAACCCTAATTTGACTGTCTTCTACTGGTGGATAGGAAACAATTTTCAGGTAGATGAATGGTTTTCACTGAGATTATTTTCAATCTCTTTCCAATAAAAGTAGAGGGACACCTTTGACTTTAATGGAAATGCTACCATGTTGCATGACTTCTTTTAGACTATCTTTCATGCCAGATATCCAGTTATGTCTGGTGACAAGTGGTATTTAACTTCCCCTGTTTTATCACATACATTTAAGATATTAATTTCCCTTTATTGCTACTTATGTGGAAATGGAAATTTCTTATATAGAATTGGTTTGAATTGCTAAACTATTTTCTTTGGGGTGGGGAAACAACAATTTATTCTATTTCATTATGTGTGAAAAAAAACTTGTAGAGGGGGTGCATTTGGGATCATGGCATTGGTGAAAGGTGAAACTTGGATTTATGTACTTCCATGTTGATAATGTGAATGCTGTAAATTTAAGTGCTGTACAGAAATATATATATTCACTGTATAGATAAATATTTTCTGTAGGTCTAAAACTGATATATCAAAAATAACTGGGATATCTAGAAAGATATCAAAACAATGAGAGCACTGAAACAATCTAGTGATGTTAATTTGGGGATAGAAATTCTAGATAAACATAACCTAGAGCAATAAATATCCAAGTATTTCTATTGGCAGTATTTCTTGTCTAGCTGAGTTAATTTCGTTCAAGGTAATTCTTTCAATAACAGATGAATAAAATATTTTCTTTATGAGGCAGACCAAGAGTGACAGAGGAATGCTTCAGATAAGTGCAATGAACTTTCTTCTTGTAAATGTGCTGTCTACCATAATCCCAGTCTGTATCTGCTCATTATTATTGACCTTGGCATTGCTAGACGAGGTACTGCAGGTTGATGTACTGTTCTGAAGCGTTTTGTAATTCATATGGGTGTGGTCAAGGCACAAAGTATCTCAGCTCCACCGCAGAGCTGTACGGTGGACTAGTTTACTTCCATGACTCATACTCTAAATTGACAGAATTAATCCTGTTGACCCTGACATACCCTACATTTTTTGAGGCAGATGAGTCCCTACATATGATCTTGTCGAGATTGTCGAGCCTGCCTCAAAATCTATTTATTTCAACAGGGTCTGAATGAAAACACAGTATTCTAACAATTATTCAAAAAGAAATATTTGTCACATCTGTCAGCTATTCTGCTTATAAAGGATCCATTTAGGGAAAGAAACATCCTGTATTGAAAATTATACTTGAACAATTTAATAAAATGTTTCTTAATTGAGTAACTGATGTGAATTTTTGCTAATATTTTTAATTACAATGTCTTCAGACACTATTCTCATGGTTCTTGCTGAAATTCTATTTTCAACTTTTTTTTTTTTTTAAAAAAAAGCCACTCCTTACATTGGAGAGTTTTCTGGTGACAAAATTTACTGAGACAGGTGACGTCAGAGTTACAGTGCAAGCTTCCTGTGGGAGTTCCATGCTTCAGGACTCAAAAGTTGTCCATGTTTTTGGTGAGACATTGCTCTTATTTTTTTCTTTCATATGTACTTGTTTCTTATACCTCTTAAAGCAGCCTTGACAAGAGTGAACCTGTTGTAAAATTATATCTAATGCCACATTTAATTCTTAAAACAAGAGGGGTGAACTGTCACTAGGTAACTCCGTGAAGTTGAACAGTGTAGTTGTATGGAAAGGTTTAGTCTGAAATGTTCTGTTGCCTTTGCTTATTTTAAATGTTACTGTGGTTCCCAAATGCTATATGTAGCAATAGTGTTTAAGTAGTATTTTGATCTATGACTAGAAAGTTTCTTAGAATTTCTAAATAGTTTAAATACATCTGGAAGAAAAAAAAAAAAGAAAAAGAAAATTTAGTTGTATATATGCTCTCAGCATTAAAATCAATGTGAAATAATTGCCTTTTATCACAATATATCATTCTTCCGTTGATGTTTATTTGAGAGTTTGGATTGAGTATAGCTCCGCTGTAATTATTTAATAACCATTCAGCTCTTGTTTCACATTGTGCCCTGGTGTGTTTTGTTGTGTCTTATAATGTGATGACAAGGCATAATATCCTGTGAAAAATGTAGGGCCCACAAATTATTTACATTTGTATTTATGCTGTCATGTGTGGGAATTGAGATAAGTGGAAAAGCTTCTTTTTAATGCAGAGCTAAGAGCCTTCGGATGTCATGAAATACACAATACATCTCTGTTGTCTGAAGAAGATTCTGTTATTTTTGCTTTTAGTATACTTATTTACTTAAAATAATGATAAAACCCACACATGTTAAATGGAGTTTTTATGAACCTTCTCCTTTCCTAAGATAAATAGATTTAATGTTTATGCTACCACTTGTAATTACATCCACTTTTTTAGATATCTTTAGAAGTATAACCCTCTTAAATGTGACTAGATCAATGACTTTTGCTTTCCAACACTCCTGCTCTTAGTGCTGGCCAATCCTGATACCAAGAGCAAGAAAGTACTGGCCATGAGGGAAATACAGAAACCTTTGGAAAAGTAAAACACATTGAAATACAATTCTCTTGGAGGTGTTGGGGAAACCAGGTTTGACTCATGCATTCCAGAGGATCTCTTTCTCTGCTTTGCATTAAGTTCCCCAAGTGTTCTTCCAAGGAGCCTTTATGGAGAAAAGGAAGATTGTAGAGACAGTTTACTGAGGAATGGCCCGTTTCCAATATTTCAGATATTTTCCACAATATCCAGAGAAATATTGTGAGTGTACCTTGTTTTTATTTTTTTCAAAGAGGGCAGTAGTTAGCCTTCATCAAATAATTTCTGTTCTTATTTTCGTAGCTAGTTTATGGAGTATGTAAAGTATTCATTTTACATGAAAAACAGGAATATGTAATGGGCAAACCCCATGTGTTTATGTTTCAATGAGAATAAAATCCATTGGCGCATTCCCATTACAAATAAAACAAACCAACCACTTCAGTGTAGCATATAGTCCTAAGGAAAAAAATATTGGGAAGGTTATGACTCCAGAGCATGTATGTAAATCTGCTTTGTTAATTTTTTCCTTCCTACTGTTTTATCCTTAAGCAAAAATTTGATTGTGCTGATGAAAATACAGAAAGAAATAGACTGTCTGACAGGAGTGTACTCTTGCCCCATGCAAGAGTACACAACACAGAGCAGTGGGGTTCCTAGATACTGCAGCACTGCACAGCAAATAACACCAAATATATATTTTCAGCTTTTATAGCTACAAAACTGTTTTTCAATATGATTTTTTACTTGTTCAAAAATGTTTCTTTTTTCTTTTTTTTTTTTTTTTTCTAGATCATTTTCATGTTCTTCCTCTGAAGTTTACTAAGCACCTGGACGTGTACAACCCTGACATACCTGAGTGGAGGGAAGACATAGGGCGGGTAGTAACACGACTTCTTGCAAAGGTGCTCTTTCAGATTGCTCATAAAATGTTCCCTCACCAGTTGTAAAGCTTGAAGGTTAGGTTAATGCCTTCTCATTTAGGAAAAAGGAGGTAGAGCAAAATAATAAAGTGAACCTCATGGGCCACATTTCAAATCAGTTTGAGCCTAGTGCCACTTTTACATGCAGGCTGTAGACGATGATATCGTAGCATAGACAGTTCAGAACTAACACAGCCTAATTGGCAATTAATGCTAAATACTGCTCTCTGGGATTAGGGATGGACATGTTGGAAAACATGGCTGACTCCAAAACAGGAAGTGTAGCTTAAAAGTGATATATTTAGAAGTTAAGCAAAGGATGCTGTGAAACATAAAAGACATAGTCTTTCTGTTAAAGCAAATCAGAAAGAATTTACAATGTCAGTTGTGTAACTTTGGAAACTATGTATAATATATAGGCACAGATTTCATACAACTGTTTTTTTTAGATCATGTTCACAAAAGAAATATGGATTGGCAGCAGCTGAATCCTGTAGGTTAAATCAAGTACAAAGCCCTGCAGCAGTACTGTGAGATAAGTAAAGAGCACCCCATGAAAACTGTGAGCTCTAGAGTTGGTCTTTTCAGGTACGCACAGTGCCAGCAGCCGTGTGTGCATGTGAGGACTTTTGTGTGGGCAATAGCACTGAGGTGCAGGTTGGTAGTGTTTTTAAACTATTTACATTTGAAATCACTTGACTTTTCCTGCATTTGCAGTTGTGCAAATCAGGTTCTGGAATTTTGACTTTATACCATTCCCTGATTTTTTTTTAAGGTTCACATAAAATGTCAAATTAATTTCCCACTTTTATCAACTTAAACTCAGTCCATAGACAGTGTAAATATAATTTTACTATAAAATATATTTATATTATATATATATATATATATATCCCTTATAAAATATCCCTTGCATTTTAATAATTACTAAATAATTTGCAAACAAATATGAAAGATTTAATGGAATTTCAGAATCTGTTTGAGAAATGTTATGGGAAGTGCCCAGGGTGTTATCATTAGAATTGTGTGGCTGTATTATACAACACATGAAGGAATTTGGGACTAAAAGCAATGTTTGCACAAACTATTTTGAAAAGGGATGCACTTGAATTTCAGTGGGGGATGCAGGTGTTCATTACAATTTCAGAAACTGAACCTAGGTGCTCTTAGTCACCCTGGAATACTTCTCTCTGTCCATTAAACACAGATGGAATAATATCCTCCTTAAGCTAAAGTTATTTGTAATAATTAATATGCCTTTCTAAGTATACTAAGTGTCTGAATGACCCACAAAAGATCCTAAATCACTTGGGAATTTTTTTTATGGTACTCTAGAAATGCACAACCATTGCAGAGTTTTGCTAAAACTGCATACCACTTTGTTTTGCTTCTTTTCACGATGCCACTAAATCACTTTAATGTGATAACAATGCTTAGCTCTTCCAATCTTCAAAGAACTGCTCACATTTCTGTTAGTTTATATTTGTCTTTGTTCATCTTTTAGCTGCTGTTGGAATACTTTCTAAATATTAAGGATCTGAACATCAAAAACTACAAGACGTGTGGAGTTTGCTTATGTATTTTCTATAACATATAAAGGACGCTGTCCTATAATTTGCCATGTGCCTTTGTCTTCACAGGAAACCAATATACCCAAAGAAACACTAATGACGGTTGTGAAACCCGGTCTTCCCACAACTGCTGACTTGCATGTGCTTCTACCAGCAAACCAACCGAAAAGGAAGAGAAGTATAACCAGTGATAAGGTAACCAGAGCAATGTATGTCTAGTTAGGACAGTTTTCATCCTGTTTTGCAATCTGTGACTGTATTCTCATTGTCTTTATGTGAAATTAGAAGGCGCTCCCTAACTATGTATGATCTCACTCCCACCTGACAAAGGACATGTAAAAGCTAGCAACAGATATGACTGCTGTGTTTGACACAGAATAAATAATAATGATCGTTTTTTTAAACAGAAGCAACAGTGATGGCACGTCAGTCTGAAGATCTAGTAGAGCAAACAGTGTATTTAGAACACTGATATTTCTAAAGAGGGATGAACTATTTCTTCACTGTCTTCAGAAGCAAATTAGATTTCAGGTCAAACAGAAACAGAACCTTAATAGTTGACCTATAATATAAAGAGCATCAAGCAGGTAGTTTCTGCCTTTATGGGCAAATGTCCTTTTCAATTGTCAGGAAACAAATATAGCTAACACAGGAATGGTCAGACATTAGTTTCTCCCTACTTATTTTGAAACCATATTTGTTCTGTAATAAAAGACCTTATGCCAGTTGACAATCAGAAGACTGGCACTTATAATATATGATATTTGTCCTTTTGCTGCGATAGAGAAGGAACAGATCCTTACACTGTGCCTGTATGTGTCAATTCAAGTCCTGCCAGTTACAAAAGATATCACTGTAAGGTATTGTTAATTTTGAAGGGCATTTTACAACTTTTTGAGGCAAGGTCACAGTATCCAAAGAGCTGGAGAAGTAGGTGAGATGAAACTCTTCATATTAACACAAAGCCAGTAGGTTGTTTTTGGAGTTGATGGGGTACACTCTGGAAGGTCCAAAGAAGTATATTGATGTTGTGGAAGTACTTGAACAGGTGTCTTACTTTAAAATGCACAGAGTACAGTGTGAATGCACAAAATTTCTGCTTTGAGGCAACCCCAAACCCTTATTGCTCTCCCTCTGTAATCACAGTAGGCATATCTGGGAGTCTGAAATCCTGATTATGTTGCAGCAACCAGTTAATTTTAACTGGTTGTTTCTTTACTAGAGAGCCATTTGTGTACTATGGCTTTCATCCAAGTGAATATTACGACTTCAAAATTATTTGTGTCCTTCCACTTCTTGAAGAAGCAAGGTGTGGCCTCTAAAGGAAATTTCTTCTCTTTATTCTGAGCATGTATGGAATGGATATCTTTAATAATTTAAGGGAACTGATGGTGATAGATTCATAGGTTGTGCAAACATTTTATTTCAGTTCAAAGTGTTATGCAAATTAGTTCCCTTTAAATCTATTTCAATTTAAATCTCAACTGTTATATTAGTGCTGTGCTTCAAGGCAACTTAAAGAATATCATCAATTATAATTAACGCTATTGCAAGGTTTTTTTCATGTTTGTGTATGAAATATCCTGTGAGTTACTCCAAAGCATAGAGAAGAACAATCACATGTTGCAAATAATTTGGGAAAAGTTCTGTTCAGTGGAGCTATAGGGAAATTACAGTAGTTTAGTAGGACGTAGTTTCTGTAACAGACAATCTTCTGGTAAGACCTTGCAAATGTTTTCTGAAACTACATGAGTGCTGAAAGGTGAAAGCAATTGTGTAATCTGGAGAATAGATGTACATTTCTGACATTGTTAGGATGGATCAGGTCAGACCAGTGGTGGTTGGGGATTACATGTATAGAAATACCAAATATGGTACAACCTACATTTGGTTGGAGCAGGAACAAAAGGAGACAGGAGCAATTACAGCTACCTGTCCTATCCAACGATAAAAAGAGCAGGTACACTAGTATCAAATTTCAATACCAATTGTTTTATAGAGTACAATGCTGTAGAGCCAGACTTCTAGTGCAACTGCCTAAATTTCTATTTTTACAGTATTGCTAAGGGATACTACTTTAGTTATTGATACGTGCATATAAATTTGTTGATTTAGAACTGAATGGCACAAATTTTGATAAAATGTGTTGCATCAGAATCCATTGTGACTTGAGAAATATCCTGAAAATGTATCCCGTGTAAATAAACTTAGAAGCAGTAACTGGTTAAGTCAACAGGAAAAGACTCATGGTGTCACTTGTTTAAAGATTCATTATGTCCTCCTCTGTTACCAGAAGTTAATCTTGAAGGTATTCATCATGTTTCACTGGAAAGGATGTGCTTTGTCATGCTGCTAGTGCCGGTTCTCAACGTCACTGTTGTGACATTGTTACGAGGACTCACCAATACAAAATATTTTCTGCATGTTTGGAAGAGGTGTCCCTAAAATCCTTAACTTAGACATAGTTACAGAATGTCTTCCCTCAAATAGAATCTATTTGTTCTTGGCTGAAAACCTTTTAGATTTAGGATATTATGTGATTTCAGAAGGATTGTTAAAGGCAATAATTTCTTGGTCAGGCAGAGAACACCTACTCGGTGGAGTTACTATTGGTGTTTTACATGGAGTGTTGTGATATGATGCTACTTATTAAGTTAGCGTTCCAGTATCAGAGTCATTACTGGTAAAAGTATCCATCAATAACAGAGATCATAAGGAAGTTGGCAGTGTGGAAGTAGGATCTCTTTGGATAATTCTGAAGTTTGGTTCCATTCTGACAGAAGTCCTCTTTCTTTTAAATTTATGCATGTAGAAATAAAGGCTGAGTGTAATTTAACCTGGTTTTAAGAACACAGCAATTTCAAAATTATTTTGTTCTAATCACTGACTCTAGAGGAAGACTTGGTCGCTTAATTTATGCACATCTGTTACATATCTAATGTCAGGTGGGATGAGTCCAATTAAATGGGTCACTTAAAGTTCCATTAAACTATAGCCTGGAATGTGGTTGCTCTGAGGAAGATTTGAGGCTCTATCTAGATAAACTGTTACATGAAAATTCCCAGTGAGTTACTTTGGCAAACAGGGCAAGTCAGACCCCCAGCTGTAGAAGTAAGTGGGTAAGAGTTTGAATAGTGTCATTATTTTTGCATTCTTATGCCACTATGCAGGAGCCATTGTGTTTACATCTTCACATGTTATCATTGGAAAGGATGTAGAAGAAGAGGATAGAAAATTCAAATACTGTTATAAGAACCTTAACTTAGAGATTCTAGGGAGGAGATGCAAACACTGGATTTGTTTTTTAAAAAGTTAGAGGTGGCAGCACTGCGCTCAATAAATATCTTGAGGCAGAAAAAAAAAAAAAAAAAAAAAAGAAAAAAAATGAAGACATGAGTACTGAAACAACCATAAATCTAACAGTGAAATAAATAAGCCAGAATCTTTGGCTGGATTCACGTGAGATTCAAATTTTTGACCTGTAGATTGTGTAATTCGTATAGGCTTGGGTGGGAGCCCAGGGGTGGGAAGAGAAATAATGAACAAGTGTTAGTCACTTAAGCAAAAAACAGAGCAAATGTTGGATTCCTCAAACACCAGCCAGGAAAATATGATGTATCCAAAGTTATGGGGCTCAGTCATTTCATTTAATGGCTGAAAGTTGGATTAGCCTGAAGTATTGGTCCCTCTTACATTCTATACCATGAACATGTGAATTAACCTAGGCTGAGACAAAGTAACTCTATTTCAGTGGTGCCAGCATCATTTTAAAGGCAATATAGTTGTCATATCCATTATCTTTTCAGACTTTGGGCAAAAAAGATACTTAGGAGCTATCTGGAGTAGTTGTCTTGTAAAATAACTGAGGCCATGCTCACATCACCCTTATGTTGAGTCATTCCCCCACAAAAAAAAATGTAATAAAGTCAGTGGAATGGCTTCAGAAGTTTGATATTCCTCAATATGAGTCAGGATATTTGAATTTCAACTTTTGTGTAGTCTCTGTCCATAACATGAGAGAGACTAGAGAGATTTCTATCTATTATACTGCAAAGGCTTGTCAAGGATGAGCACAGTAATTGATATCATAAAACGAGTTACTCGTGAAGGTTTCATGGATATAAAGCATATTTCTAATTTGGCATCCTGTGGGAAGTCATATCCTAAATTCTAAGGCATAGAGTATAAAACTAGCTTTGATCTTTTAGAAAATTACTCATGTTGAAGACACAAGCAAGTAGAAGGGAAAATTCAGACAATTTGTCATCTAGGGTTAGGATATGATGGTATATTTAATGGTTCTGCTCCATTAAGTGTGAGAGACCATATTTTACTGTGCTCTATCCACTGGAGAAAAATAGGAGGAATCCGGATTTTTTCCACATGGATGGATATATATATTTCTACAGAGTATTGTTAAAAATGAGGTATAAATGGAATTCATCCCATTATAGGGAAGGAGATGAGGTAAATTATGATGTGCAGTTCATTATCAAATAGCAGTTACTTTTCATAGCAAGAAATCTAAAGTGACATCGCAAGTTTTCTTCTGATAGTTTAGAAGAATGGAGAGTTTTTAATATGGATTTTGCATTGTGTGAGTTATGACCAAGGTAAACCCAATAGTGCATGCAAATGACATGCTGTCTGTCATACACTGGGTAAATGTAAAGGCTTTGGTAAGCAGAAAGGAAGATTTGGCTATAAAGATTTGACATTTTCAGCTTTTATGGCTTGTGGAGTTTTGCATGATTTTTAAATATGGAATTTCTTTAAGATCTCAGCTCACCATTGGCAAATGCTTTCTGAGTTTCTCACCATTTAATGAACCAGAGGTTTTCCTTTTTAGAGCATTGAGTCTCTCAAACTGGAATGGAGTGCGAGACATCTGAAATTCTTTCTGTTGTATTTTCAGAGAATAGCGGCTATAAAGCAGGCCTTGAACGCACACAACATCAGTTTCTTTCTGAGGGGAGGATACTGGGTTTTAGTGACTTTAGCTGACTCCAGTTCAGGTAAATATATAAACAAAGTTCTCAACAGACCATTCTTTGGATATTTGTATGAGTTCTGATAAGTTAAGGAGAAAATCTTTGTATCAATATAGATGTGTACGTATACACACATACATATATACTAACTTGGTATTTGTTACATATAGATACACACATAAATATGTATGTAAATATATATACACACATATATGCACACGTATATATGGATATATTTTCATTTGGTAGTTGTTAACGATCACCACCAAATAAATATTTGTTACATATTTCCATTTCATCATATCTCATTATTTGTTTCAGAAGATTCTTGCTTCTTTTCTGTGTAACCATGGCATTAACTAAATACCTATATTATACAAAACACTTCTCTGAAGACAGAGCCAGCCAAGCTTCAAAAAAACCATCTGGTGAAGCACTTTGGCTGCACAGGCTGCCAAGGAAGCAGAGTTTCTTTACTTAAGCCATTAACTCTGCAGATATAACTCCAGGGATCTGGGATATAGCCTTTTATCTCTGCCTTGCAACTGAAGCTGATTTGAGATCCCCAGATCAACTGACATTAAGCTTGCTATAGAGTCTCCACATTGCTAATCCTGTCCTGAGATAAATTATATGCTTTTTCTGTGTTTAAAACAAATGGAAACAGGAGTTTTGCATGCATTTCCTGCATGTCTATATTCACTACATACCTGGAAACTGATTGAAGATAGTATGTGTGCATACATGTATCCATATTTTGAACAGCAATATGTTAAAATTAAGCTTTAAACAAAAAGTTCAGCTTTGACATGAACCTTGTATTAGAATGTCCTGTAATTTTTTTTGTGTATCATATCCCATAATATATCATTCTTTCTTGTTTCAGTGTGTTGTGGGAGAACAGCTTAGCTGACCACAGTCAATTTCTGTAAATATTGGTGCAATATTTTATCTGTCAGCTCTCTGTAGAATACAAAGATCTAGTCTCACTAGTGTAGAATTGAGCTACAGTTTTGCTGTGGTGCCTCATTTGGTTTAAAGGGCTAACTTTTGTTAGCCAGCACAAAAGGCTGGTGTTGAAAGAAGGCCATGTTCATTCCAGCCTCTACCAATGTACAACCCTGATGAGTTCATTTGTTATTCAGAGCCTTAGTTTCTCCATCTGTGAAAATAATACAGCCCTGCTTTTGCAACCCATCTTCTTAGGGCATGTGATAATTTCCTATGATAACTTGATAACTTTAGATTCCCAGAAAAAATCCCCAGTGAGTATGCAAATAATTAAATATCACGGCTTTGGATTTTGTTTTGGTTTGGGTTTTTTTGGGTTTTTTTTTTGTTTGTTTGTTTTTTTTTAATTGGTCCTCTGTCCTTCAGTCACAAGTCATCAATGAATTTTGTGCTGTTGCCTTTTTGAAGTGGCTACAGATGGAATGAAAAGAAAAGGTTCCACAAATAACAAAACATGGTTTTGACCTGACAATTACATAGAAAAGAAAGCCCAAGAATGTGACTGATCTGAAAGAAGACATGCTAAGCTGTTCTTTTATTTTGTGTTTCAGAGTCTCAGAGGATTGGAGGAGGCAGTGGCTACTGGGCTATTGTGGTTCTCTTTGTTATCTGTCTAGTTGCAGTTGGGGCCTTCATCCTCTACAAGTTCAAAAGGCAAGTAAACCATGATCAGCAACATATAAATTTTAGGAATTTGATTTATCCACAGATCAGCAAAACAGAGTTTGTTATTTGAAAAGGAGATTTCTTAAAGAATTGCAGAAAGTCCACTGCTTTGAAAATTGTGTTTTTCTGAACTTTTTAGACATCGAGGTACTTCACTGATGCTTGTTTTCACTTGGTGTGTTCCAAGATAAATAGCAATGATATGAGAACTATGGCAAGTTTCTTCAGCTTGCCTAAGTAATATCATCAAGAAAGAGATCTGAGCTAAAATATTATTCCTGATTAATTCCTACCTCATTACTCCTAGCATTTATGAATAAACTAAAGCTATCGAGACAATGACTGCATCTGCAATGCTGATTTGCTTAAAAAAAGTAGTTTTATCAAAACACATATCTCTCTGGAGTTTCTCTTTGCACACATTACATTTTAATTGCTGGGGCAATGCCTCATAAAGTGAGTGATGGAAATAGATTAGCGTTAATTTGACACTAGAGTGTGTTGAGAGGAGAAATAATTCTGGAAGTGGCCTTTATGAGAGACACGTTTTCAAAATTGACAAGGGATACCATGCCAGTCTTTGGCTTTCTGATAGGTCTTTAGTCTGCAATTTATTTTAATCATAACTACTAGGGTGCTGTGCAATTTAAAGAATTTTGAGTTTGCTGATAAGTTTGTGTAATCATTGGCTATACTAATTATTTTTGAATCTCTGGGGCATTTAGAAGCTTCTGGGTTTGATCATATTGGAAACCAAGCCTTCATCATCCTCAATTCCTGATATTCTTATTCACTGAGGATTCCTATTGGTTTGTCTCATTCTTTAAAGACAGGTTCTTATTTGAAATAAACAGAAGTTTATAGAAATGGGTGCGGCTCTGAGTTTGTGATAGCAATAAGCATAGATAGCATTGTTTGGATAAAGAGCTTTTAAGTCAATAGAGGAAACCCTTTTTTTCCAAGAATCTCTTCATTTTCTCACTGCAGCACCTCCTTCATAGAGCTCATAGTGGCTGATCGCTCTAAAGGACAAAGCACAGAATGCTGTACTGAGACTGACTTCAACTGAATAAGAATTCACTTTGCTATTTTAGGCGCCTGCAGCAAGGAAAAACATAAAAATGGTTGATGCGATGTAATTATATTATTTCAGTAGCAATACATGGAGGATTTGCTGTCTGTAGTGTGGGTTCATAAAACTTGTTTGTGCTATCTTTCGAAAGCTGTATGATTTATATCTTTTATTAGCTCTTAAATGAGAGCAATTAAATAACAGACACAATTACTGCATGGCAAAAGTATAAAATATTCAAGAAAGGAAGAAAAAAATATTTTCCTTGAGTTCTTTCTAAAATACCCAATGAACCATTGCTTTATTAATAGAGCTTTTATTAAGGAGGAAACTATACTACAATTTGCAAATTGCAAGCTTTAATGTCTCTCACACTTCTATACATAATTTGTGAAAATCATTCGCATTTAAATTTTGCGGGGGTTTAATTTAGGTGCAAGTGAGGAGAACTGTGAGATATATTCAAATATTTCTCAGTAGCTTGAAAACTGCTGTTGGCATTGATGAATGACCATGCAGTAGTATTCAATTTTAGTTCATATCATATCTGTTTCTGAGATATTTGACAGAATTATTTTTAAATAATCCTGCTAAACTTTTCCAAGATTACAGGTTTTTTTGGTTGCATCCTTCATTTGCAATTTGATCTTCAAAGAATATTGAGCGTTTAACCAATGCTGTTTGAAAAATCACTTTTTTCCTTTGCTCCCTGTGAACTCCTCTCCCACCCAAATCTTTAATACCTAAAAAAACCCCTTTCCTGTGTTTATAAAGATGGATGGTGAATTGCTGAATCCCCATGGAGTACTTATTTGTGAGTACAGTCTGTACAGTGAATACGTAAGTTTACAAACTGCTCCACAGGGACCGAGGCTATGTAGCTGAGTGTCCTTTATAGATATAAAGGTTACTGGTTGTAATGCACAAAGACAGGTTGTCAATATTATATGCCTATATTTTAAAAATTAATTTGCTGGAAGAAAGCCGTCCGCAACAAAAATTGTTCAATTTTAGGAGATAATTTCATCAGAATAGTACTGGGACATATGGTAACTCAGACAACACATGCAAATATAAATATGAATTATTTCAACATAGAAATTACAGACATGTATAAGGTGTTGAAATGTTAATACTGTCCATAATTTTTATGTATGATTCACAAAATTAAGGAGAAGATGGAAGACATTTGGTGGTGCTTTCCTTTCATTTCTGTAAATTGATAGTCAGATACTCCCTTCAGAAAAGGATTAAAACTCCTTTTTTCCCCAAGTCAGAGAAATGTTTATTAATCTTTGTTTTATCACTATATTAACTGGGTCTACAGGACTTGAGTTGACATTGAGGCACAGGCAAAGCAGGTGGTCTGCAAAAGATTGCATGGACATGCCTTGGACTATTCTTTCTGTCTTTTCCTCTCTTTGCTGGCCCAAAGGACAGTTCTTTACTTAAGGTTAAGTTTGATACCTGGAAAGAGGCAAGATGGAAAGACTTGCTTGCAGATAAGACGGTGACTGGATTGGCAGGGAGGATACAGCGTCATATGTGAGAGCAGTTCATCCATTTGCAATGATCAGAGGCACTGTTTGGGACTTGTGATGAAAAGTAAAGAGAAAATAGAGGAATTCTGTGTAGACCATACTACAGGTTTAATAGAAAATGGAGAAACTTGCCCAAACTACCCAATGGCTCCTGAGTGCCAAGGCCCCTTGTGTCCATTTATGGTCATCTGCCCTCCCTGCCTGGATCATTTCTGAAGTTCATGTCATAAGAACTTGGGTCTTAATTTACACTAATTTGTGCCAGGCAGAATTGCAAGATGAAAGACAGTGTTGACAAGACATAAGAGACTAATCTAATACATCCTTTTTTTTTTTTTTTTTTTTTTTTTTTTATGAATATTTCAGGGAAATCAAGACAACTATGACAAAACTTGCTGCTCCTGTTTAATTTCTCACTTTTTTGAAAACTGCAATATGCAGCACTAAAAACTGGTGTCCCTTGTAAAAAGTAAATCTCACAAAATTAGTTTGGGGGGAGAGTAGAAATCTAAAAATAACAATCCTGCATACGATTCTGTGTCAGATACCTCATATGCAGAAAACAAAGAGAGTATTTTATCTAATTAAGTAGTGAGGTAGGGGAAAAACAGGCAGATTCATATAGAGGTGGTGGGATTTTAACTGATTGGTTATATGTACAGTAAAAACCAATGCCACCTCATTGTTCCTGAAGGGATGCCCATTAAAAAGAAAAGATTAAAATTGTATGATTTCCCACTACCCTATTCAAAACTAAAATTGTTAGGTTTGATGGATAATCAGACCTGTCATGGCTATCTCATGATTAGGTGACTGTAGGTTATGTTGGTGCTGATATGTTGTAATCCCAAATACTTAAACACTGACTAGGAAGACTGCTGCCCTCTGTTCTTATATGCAGCAAAATTGCAAGAATTTATCATTTCATCCCTTCTGCCCCTCCCTCCCCCCATTTTCTCTAATGGTCTATTTGTGCATCCAGCCACTTCTCGCCAAGAACATGTGCTCAGATTGTGGAGCAACTCCTGGCAATCCTGAGAGTGGCTGGTTGCTTTAGGCAAAAAAAAAAAAAAAAAAAAAAATGCCGGAAAGTCTTGAGTCATGCAGGGTTTTGATTTTGATCCTTTGTGATCAAAGAAGGTAAACAAATCAGATAAGGGCTATTTTTACCCAGTAAATGAAAAGTATATTTTAAATGATAAATTCTGGAGGTTTGAAAAACTAATTCTAGTTGTATCCCACAAATGAACAAAGATTGGTTTTGATAGTTTGAGGGAGGAATTTTCAGCGTAGCAGCAAGAAGCAAGAGGTAGTACCCCATCTGCTAAAGCTGACTGTGGCTGTGGCACAAGAGACAGTGCAGGTGACGAACATGCATGGCAGGCAGTATAGAGAAGGCAAATAGCATTGTCTGTACTAGGCAAAGTGGAGGAAAGGAGAATTATCTTTTAGCCACATCAAATCTGCCATATAATCATCATGTTACTAGTGGAAGGTCTGAAATCATCCTTTTCTTATTTTTCACTTTGTATAACAACAGGATATTAGAGTAGCCAAACCAGAGCAAACAGTTGGCTTTTCGCCTTGGGTATTTTACCTGGTTAATAATAGCAAATTTGATTCTCTAAAGAGTATGAAAATCTTCATCTTTTAATTTGTATGCAAACTACTGCCAGTGTACTTAAAGCTGCATACACTGTTTTCACAAATCATCATGAATCTACTTCAGCCAAATTTATACGATTTTGTATGTATTCATTTTTTTCCCCACTACTATCAAGTGCCACTTTTGGTAAATGAACCCCCTCCTGGGTCATTTCCACAATCTGGAGCAGAACTGTGTTATCTTTCTGCCTCATTGACTTACTATCTCATTTTCAGTCTCTGAAGAAAAGCTATCTTTTTTCCCCACCTTGCTTATACTACTTTTATGTTCCATGAGAGCAAGTTTAGTCCCAATCCATACCATTTAGTTATAAAAAAACAGGCACTAATTTAATGATCCATAATATTTCATAAAAACTTCCTTAGAAATCAAAGTAATAGCATGTAGAAAAGATTTCTGAAATGAAAGAGGCAAGTAAATCAGGAGTGCCTTAAAGCTCAAAGAAGTCAGTCATCTGAACATTAATCCAAACATAATACAGCCAACACCACAATAAAGTATTCTATTTAATGGATTATTATTGTTGTTAATTTTATTTAAGTTCCAAGAAAATGATACATTATTCCATATCCTTTGCCATGTGGATATGTTACTATTTTTCATACAAAATGGAATCTTAATGAAGCCTTTGGAAAATGAATGAAGTTGCATAAAGGCCAATGAATATTATCTCCAAAAGGAAGGAATTGAAAGCCAAATAAACTAGAGAGTTTAAATGAGTGGGAATCAATATCTCATCCCCCTCCTGCTGTTACTTACTGCTGAACATTTTTAAGTGCAAACAGTTTTCAGTATGAACTGATTAGAATTTGTGAATATAGGGAAGGAAAAAAAAAACTTTCTGAAATATATTCTAAGTGTGGGAGCTTGAGATCTTGGTGAAAGCCATGTTTGTTAGTAGTTCTGTGCAGAATTAAGTTTCCAGTTCTTATTTTTATGGTCCTCAAAGCAGACATGAATATTTCTTTTTCTTCATGATTGAAATGAAATGTTACAGAGAAAACAAAAGGAACTAAAAATGTAAACTATGGAGTACTGCTCAGCAGAGGTAATTGTCTCCAGTGATGGATGTGAAGCACATGTATTTTGCAGCTGAAGAGTAAATCCTCAAATGAAACTATTGAATAATCTTTTTCTCTGTTCCTATAAATGTGCTTTCAATTTTCATATTGCTGATATAAATCTCTTGGGTCAAATTTCATGTCTTGTCATGTTTTCACAGTAGTCTTTTATGTACACCCAAGCATTTCAGCTCTGCCTACATCAAGCAGTTACATTGGACTCAACATAAATTGCTTCCTTAAGAAAAGCAAAGCACATCAGGGCACACAAGAGTTTCTCTCTGTATAATTAGGGGTAGCAGCTTCCTCCCTACGTGTTAGAGCAGTAAGGAGCAACCGGAAAATTGCCAGAATCAGGCCCATCTTTAGGAAGGATTCAGTATCCATATCCTGTTTCATCCCACAGTGTGGTTGTCCCTTATAAACAACACATCTGGCACGTGTGTTGAAAAGGCTTAGACTATCATTTTCTTCAGTTTAGTTAAGTCTCTTCCTTGTAAAACCGAACCAATATGAAACACATAGAGAGCTCTATAATGTATAAAAGGTCAAATGCCTACAGTGCATACCTTCACAAAACCTGTAATATTCTCCTTCCTCCCATCCATACTCCATGTTACAACCTAAGATACTTTCCTCTGTAAGTAGGAGGAGCAAAAGAAAGTACAGAATAGTTACTGAGTACTTCACCTTTATACCTTCACGAAGGATCTGTACTTAGCATCATTGGGCTTAGGAAGTTTAGGTGTTTGAGAAATAACAGTTTACACCTTTTCTCCATAACCCATAAAGAAATGCTCTTAACAGGAGTATGTTTAATAGTTATTTGTGAATTTATGAGGTTTCTTCGTTCAGGAACCCCTCAATATGTTTAATATCAAATTTTGTTATTGTGGTGATCTCTGTACGAGTAAGTCTGGCCAGAGGTATGAGTTGAACCTTCAAGATTTACAACAAAGGACACACCTTGTTGACCTGGTTTCAGACAGATCCTTTAGCCTGGGCAGACAACAGTTAGAATAGCAGTTCTGCTCCCTTTACTCAACTGCAAAGGTCTGGTGTGCCGTATGGGTTTGAGATGGATAACATTTTTTTAATGCCAAAAGTATTTTGATAATGGCATCGTCACTTCTACGATCTATCAGAAATACAGTTTTGAGAAGGCCCCTTAGTTATTGCAGAAACATATGTGCTAATTCTGCAGATGTGTTGCAAAGACATTCTTCTGGGTTTTGTTTCCCTTAGGCATTTGGTGGTGGACTGAAAGTAAGCAATTTGACAGTTTTGATGCAGGTCTGATTGAGAGGGTTGTTTTTTTCCACATGACCAGTTTCATTAGCAGACACGTTAAAAAGAGTCTGGAGTTACTGACCCTAGAGAAAAAAAATCAAAATTAATTACCTAATGTTTTGTTTTGGTAATGAAGAATGTCTTTCCCCTGTTCAGTGTGGCTTTTTTTTTTATCCAGTTAATGGGAGGAGAATGATGCAGGGCTTGGCTTTATGTGTATGTTTGTGTTGGAGAAGCCCTCGGACGTGTTGAAGTGGTCATAATCATAGAATCATAGAATGGTTTGGGTTGCAAGGGACCTTAAAGATCATCTGGTTCCAACACACACCCACCCCACCCCACCTCTCATGCTATCAGACCTTCTTTCCATCCTTGTCCTTTGCATCTGGTTAGTCCTGTGCTTTATTTATTCCATGCTCACTGAGAAACAGAAAAGAACAAGAGCGATCACATTTCCTTCTTTGTGCTGATTAAAAATAATGGCATAAAATACCTGATTTATGTATATATATAATTTTGTGTATGTGTCTATACACATACCTATACAGATTTGAGTGTGTGTGTACGTATATAGGAACACAGGATGCAATTCATCTCTTGGATAGTTCAAATTAAAGGGAGGAGATCCTTTTCAATCTTCTTTCATTGTTTAACAATTTCTATTTATTCTAACTACTTTGATGCATTGGATGGTGCTGTTCAAAATAGTTTGCTGCGGTAACTTTTATCTCAAACTAAGATGATGCCACCTGGTAAAGAACCTTTCTTCTGAAAGGACATTTAAAGACAGGTCATCTTCAAAAGCCTAGATAAAACAGAGTAACCTGTGTATTTATCCAGCTTTCAAACTGCTGACAGAATATGGAGCAAAAGGTGGTTGTTTTTAGAGAAATGCCTAAAAATTAGCATCACTTTTTCTATCATCTGTATAAAGGAACTCAGCAGAAACTGCAGCTCAACCTCAGCAGTTCAACCCCGTTTTTTCTTTTCTTCTTATTGTCTGCCTGTTGTAATAATCTCTGTTTAAGCATAGGCTTTGACAACAATGATCTGCTGTCATGCTGATCAAGCTGTCAAGCTGTTTCTTGCAGTGTAAGAAATGGAGCTCACAACCTGAAACTCCCTAATCAGAAGTGTCTGCTTGGTACGTAGGAAAGGATGTCCGTATGTGCCCAGGCAGATTTCAGGTGAATGCAGCTACACCAAAGTGTATGGCTTTTGAGAAATGCTTAAACCATAAATTCTGCTGCAAAGTTAGAAGTCCCTGATTATTCCCTTTGATTTTATAAAGTCTAGTTTAAATTAATCTAGTTAAGAAATCTTTATAGATACTGAGTCTTAAGCCTCCTGGTCTCATCCATGGTGCTAATTGTTTATTAGAGCTGACAGAGCCATTTAAAAACATGTCTTTTGTTTTTCTAGATTCCAATCAGAATTAATGAATTAAATAATCTCTGCTATAGAGAATTTTGTCTAATTCAGCATTTCCCAGTAGTCCTGGGCCAAGATTTACACTGTCTTCTTCAGTGCTGCCTGCTTTACTTCACCAACCTCCTCTGCCTTCTTATTTGCCCTTACTGATGCATGTTTACCTCCTTGCCCCTTGTTTCCAACCTCCTACTTCTTCCCTCTCTGTTCCCTTTCCATTCACTGTCTCCTGGATTTCTCCTGCTTCTTTCTCCTCAACCCTGATGGAGTATGGAAGTACCCTTCAGTGTCAGCCCACCTCACCGGGAAGATGTGATGGTGATTGGGCCCAGCTTAATGTTTGTGAAGACACTTGGGATCAGTTTTTCTGTGTTTTTAGTAATTTTTTTTTCCAGTATTTTTCATTGTCTGTCAATTTTAGTCAGAAATTGATGCTTAATTATGATGTTGGTATGAACATTGTGATAAGACAGTTACATAAAACTGTGACTGAGAATAAGAAGTTGTTGAGTTTAAGTAGTAAGCATAAAATTAAGGAAGGGTGGGATTGGTGCTGTTGTGTGATTCTGGAACAACCTTGCTCTGCTGGAGCTCTGCTCTGATGCCAGCATGCATGTGACATGAAAGAACTCCATCACAAGACTTTTTCTCCTTGTCCAATTTAGGAAACTGCCAGGCAGAAATGTCTACGCCCAGATGCACAATGAAAAGGAGCAGGAGATGACAAGCCCTGTTAATCATAGTGAAGACACCCAGAACATCATCCAGGGTGAGGAGTTTATTGATGATGATCTGGACTCTCAAACACTAGGTAACGCAAGAGGTAACTTCATTTTTAGTTTATAAATTTTCATAAGCAATTGATTTTTAATTGATGTGTATTTTAATTTTAGCTTTTTTCATTTTCTGCTCAGCTGCAGGAAGAAGTAAATAGTACACCACTAACAAAGGATTATCTCAACTATCTTTTGAATTGCTTGTAATAGGGGCTAATGTATTTTTGACATAGAGCATGCCTACACAGATAGTACAGTTTAATGTCAGGATACTTTGACAATTTTAGAGAAAAATTAAATTTCGTAGAACAGGATATAATAGGTAACAGTTGGATTAACTCAATAATCCCCTGAATTAGTGGAAAATGGAGTTTAGGCCAGAAGGATTTATGGAGTCATTGTTTCCATGATTTCAGATTGAATGTATCTAGATCCCTTGCTATATTTGCAATCATACTCCAGTGGCATTTAAAGCATTCATGATTAGAAACATTAAATTTATTCCTGTATAAAAACTATCATAAGTCTTCCCTAATTTAGCCAGTAACTTTCTAGTATTCATGTGCTGGTCATAAGGAACACGAGGGAAACTTTCTGTGAATATGTCTCAGTGCAACTGATTGTCAGGTGGAAGTGTGTATCCTGGCACCCTATGGTTATTTTTAATGTAACATGGAGTGCTGACCTATAAAGTTAATTCTTGTAAAATTTACCATTGTGTTCAGTCTGCTTTCAGGTCACAGTCTGAAAAGTGTAGGACAATGGGAAAAGCACCCCAGTTCCATTTCTACACAGTTTGTGAAAATAAATCAGATAATCCAAAGCCCCTGGGACTTGTAGCAGTAGATTCATGGTGTAACAGGCAACTGTAATGTCTTCATGAACCCACAGAAGATGTGTTTGTGTTTTAGCTGAACCAGAGGTAGCCTGGGGAAAGACAGAACTTTGGCAGAGGAAAGATTTCTTTATCTTGGGTTTCACCTTTATCGTTTGTTGTCGATATCTTTATTTTCATTTGCCGAGCTGTGTGCTACTTCTAGGTTCTTGGAGGTGTTAGCTTAGAGCACAAGGGAAGAATACAGCCTCCTGCTTTGCTTTGTATATTTCTGTCTTTTCTTTGACAATCTTTGTGTATGAGTATTACTGTGTTTTCATTTAGATTTTGTAAAACAACCTTGATTGCACTCCTGGCTTTACTGGAGTTAGTTCCAAAAGCAACCCTGGAAAAACAAAGACTATGTTAAAACTGTTTGATCAACTCATCTCCAGGGTCTTTAGAGGAGAAGGCTGAATGCTAACAAAGTCCTTGCAGACATGACTATTAAAGTGGAGCGTTCGAACACCTCTAGTAATGTACAAAAGCATAACATCTTTTAACAGCAGAAAATCCCTTATGGCCTATTTAAATAAGGCAGTTTGGGATGCTGGAATAAAGAAATGTTACTCTGACTGGTAACTCATTCAAAAACAATCTCTAGTTGTCCTGCACTCCTTACTCAGAGGAAAAAAAGAAAAAATCTTCTATCTGGGAAGAGCATTATTAGGGTTAGAGTACAAGATCATGATGTTTTGATGTGAAACTTAAGACAATTAACAGATGCAGATCTCGAGATGGTTTCTGCTACTGTCAGGTTGTCAACACTAGCAGCATTTCCAGCAGAGCATAAAGAGTTCATTTATGTGGATCATAATCATCCATATTTGTCAACTACTGTACAGCTTTTAGACACAAGGCTTTATTTAAGATATAAAACTATACTTCTGCTCACTGTACTGTTTTGTTACTTGCAATACTTTCCACTAGCTCCGGTATTGCTCAGTACTGCCAAGAAAACATTCCTGTTAATGATAGTCCTCTATTTTATCTGGCTAGAGCATGAAACATGTTATAATCCCTGCTTTATATTAAATTCTGTTTTACAACATTATTTGCAGAAGGTTCCTATGCTAAGGAGACCCCTTCTAGTTCTGGTGAGATTTTCCCCTCCCTGTTGGGAGATGTCAGTAGCAGCCTCCTCTCCATGCACAGCAGGGAGTTACAGGCCTGGTTTCTGTTTGTTCTCTCTCTTCTCATAACTTTTGAATTTCCACAGTACAGTATTTCCAGACTCACCCATCCACTTTTTTTGTTTTCTATATATTTTATGTTGCCTACTTTATCGCAACCCCCACCTTGGGACTCCTCAACATCATTACCTTGCAGTGACTCCTTCTGGGAGAAGTGGCAACTTGAACAGCTACAGAGTTCCCTTATTGCTGATGCCGGTCAGTGTCCAGTCCCAGGTCAGTGGCATGTCGAATGGACGCCTCAGGTTCCATTCTCCTCCCTCACCTGCACCCCTCGAGACAACTACACCTTTTTTAAGCCACAAAGAGAACCAACTTATGCTGTCACTGGGATAGAAACCCTAGGAATTCACCACAAATCCACCACCATGAGCAAAAGCTTTGAGTGAAAGTATGCTGTAGGTACATGGAGCTGTTGCACCAACCTTCACCTGAACTGTTGTTTGCTAAAGCCACTCTCTTTATGCGATTGACTTGTCCCTGAAATAAAAGGGGGATTTATTGTGAAGTGCCTGAAATACACTAATGCTGGCCTTTTGTTTCTATATTTTTGTAGGCAGTCACTCAGGCGTGGTTTTGAGCATCAACTCCAGAGAGATGCACAGTTACCTGGTTAGCTGATATTTACAGCTGAACACAAAAACCGAAAGACTCTTCTCTGTATCATTTTATTTTTCCCTGGTGATGTCACAAATTGCAAATATGGCTGTAAATGCTGGTGGAAAGGATGTTTCTTACCAGTCCCATGGAAAAAAGCGTCCATCATCAGTTACCGAGGGAGAAGGATAATATGTCTTGTGTTCACTCTATGGCCTAAGAACTCATTACGATTGAAACTCAAACTATGGTAGCAAATTTGTAGCCCTAGGCACCTTCAATGCCACCTTATTTCTTTTCTGTATATGCTCTAGTTCTTTATGTTTATTTTTAGAATTATTGACTGTAACTTTTTAATTATATTTTTAATTGAGGTATTCAGCAGAAGGCTGGGACTCTTCAGCCTGAAAAGGTGATTTTTACACAAGTGACTAGACCAGAACAGATGGTTGATTGATCACAATGACTTCTTTTAGGAGGCCAAGTGTTTCTGTACTGGGAGAGGAGTGAGCAAGGAGACAAATGCACTCCTAGTCAATACAAGCTCTTAACTTAAACATGTGTGAGACAATCTAATGAATTTAGGCTTAGGCCCCTCTGTGGGTTAAGGGAAGTAAACTGTTAATTAAGGTATCTCATAATATAGGGTAATGGTCTTGTAAGTGTAGCAAGTCTTGACAAACCATCAGCACCAGTATCTCCCCCAATCCCACCATGTGTGAAAGAAAAACACCAGCTTGATGCTATTTCCAGACCAGGTGCCTTCACTTGTGGACAGTCATTTCAGTTGTTCTCTTGTCTCTTGAGCGAGCACCTCTAGGACAATGGCAGCTGCCGGATGAGTTACCCTGTAAAACCCCATGCTGGTGGCCTGTTTCTTTTTAAATTTCCAGAGAGTGTAAATACCTCTTTTAAGTCACTTTCTTTATATGGTTATTTTTTTAAAACTTCCTATTAGGGCAGAGGTGCTGGGCAGGTCAGAGCTCTTCTCTGGGCACGACTGGGTAGCACACTGCCATCCCCTTCCCACCTGCATCCTTCTTTCGGATTTTCCCTGACTGTTTGCCCTTGCAGGCAGGGGTGGGCAAACTCTGACCTGACCTTCTGTGCTCGGATAGGTTTGACAATCCAGTGGGCCATGGGGAGGATGGTTTGTGATTTAGGGGTTCATATTTCCCATCACCACAGGGTGTCACTCAGTCCCTATTGCTGCTGGCCGCTGTTTCTGCAGGGAAGGTGATGGGGCTTCTGAAGGAGCTGCCTGTAGAAAGGCTTGTGAGTCAGGTCAGAGTTTCCTAATCCCAGTTTTGTAAATTGGGTCAGAGTTTCCTAGTCCCAGCCTCTTCATCCCTAGGGAATCAGCAGTGTGGTGAATCCACACCCTGCTGGTCTTTTCCCTGAGGTTTATGGAGCCGCGTAGGAAACAGACTGTGATGTGATGAGTTTAAGCATCTGGCATCCTATCTCTCCCAGCTGCCTGAGATTAGGATGCTTCTCTCAGAAACCTATATAATCTCTTCACTTTTTGCCTTCAATAGAGAAGAAATAACTCTTTATTCACTGAATGTCACACCAATGCTAGCGGCAAGCTCACGCACCACCTTGGTTAAGGAGAATACAGATAGCTAACTACATCTTTCTGAATAAACAAACAGAAAATAATGAATGCTGGTAAACCACAAAAGAATTGTCTTAAAGTTATCGTATGCATTGGAGTCATTCTTCCATGTGGATATTGTCATCAAATGCACGGATGGGGATGCAGTAATTCAGTGTAGTACTATAGGCTCTCATAAACCCCACAAGATGTATGTCTAAAGCACAAGAAAATCTAGATTATAAATTTACTGTAAGGAGCTAGATGGAAAAGTTAAAGTGAAGATTCTGAAAAGTGCTTGCAAACTGCTCAGGAAAATAATTTCAAAAATTATTCTAAAATTTCTGCCTATTTAGTTGTAGAGTGCCATGCAAACTGATTTATGGAGAAGCAATGCTCTAGCTGACTGTTGTATGCCAGACTGTGTAGAAATCTAAATTGTTACATGTATCTAAATCTGGGTTTCTTGAAGAGAAGTGCAAATACAAAATCTGTTGTACATTGGAAACTCTTGAGATTGTTGCACCAAAGGCTTTCCCTCCTCACCAGCTCTTTATGCTTTTTCTAGTGGAAATGAGCTGGAGCAGAGAATAAAATAGTATTGCAAACAGGTTGCTTGTTCCTGTGGTATAAATCTGAAGTGGGTTATTAGCATAGGGCAGGTGAGTGACAGATTAGCCTCATGGACAAGGGATGGGATGGAAGTTCTGCTTTGGGGTTGTTGTCCCATGGTTCGACTGATTGGAGGACACTGTTGGTACTAGGTCACACATCTAATTTATGCTTTAACAGCTATATTCATACATTTAATACAGGGTGACTTGTGTCTCTGATAACAGGAGTCTTTTGGAGCACTGTCAAATATTTAACCGCTTGGTACTCTAATTAACACTTAGCACAATATAGTGCCTGTAATAGTATTTTTCAATGCTTATTAATTTGATTCATGCAGCACTCCTGTATGGTTGGTTTGTCTTGTCTTAAAAACACTGTTTTCTAAAGAGATGTCAGTATTGCCATAACTGTATTAATAATACCCAGAAGATAATAAAGGAAACCTTTGATTCCCTGGCAAGAATAATTTTAAAATGAATTATTTTAAAACTGAGAAAATATCATTAGCATTTTCCCATTCATGGTGTCTTGGTTTGTCTTTAAATGAAAACTCTTACTAGAACTACATTTCAAATCTGTTGAACTACATCTATGACATCTTAGCATTTTATCCTTTATATGTATCTAAATGCTGATACATATGCATACAGAAACACAGAGTTGTTTCTATGCACAGATGCTAGTCACAAATGCACCTGCACACACACATGCAGCATTTTGACATATTCCAGTTTAAATTGTAAATGAGAAAGGGTAATTTCATGGCTAAGAAACAGAAGATGGCTGTCAGATATCTGGATTCTGTACCCAGACTTTGATCAAGTTACTTAACCTGTATGTGCTTCAGTTTCCCCACCTGTAAAATGGGGCTGATAGTAACTATCTGCCTCACAGGGGTATTGTGAGGCTAAATGAATTACTGTTTGTTCAGGATCTTCAGAGTGAATTTTGTGAGCATAAATTATTAGTAGTTTCACTGTCTTTGTTTTACTTGTAATTATCACTGTTATTAAAGATAGTCTACTGAAACCAGCAGAAATTATGTATAAATGTAAAAAATGAGAAATCCAAAAAAAGTACATCGCTTGGAAAAAAAAAAAAAAAGGCAATTTTATGTATTATTTAAAAACTGTTATTGGAACATATTGTTACATGGTAGCATTGCAATATTGGCTATGATTTTGCTGTTACACACTAGTATCTTAAACTTACTTTCTGCAGTGTTATTTGGTCAAAAGCCTTGTAATAATGGGTACAGTGATACTTAATAACATTGATATTGAGCTATACTGAAACCAACAAAACTGGCGGTGTATTGGCCTCATTTACATCTTTTGCCCTTCTTAAACTCTGATGTATTCACAATTTCTAAAACACTCTGTACTTTTCACAGTGCTCCAAGCAGTACTGATTTGAATCATTCTAACAGAGCCATCAAGATTTACAGATGTTGTCTTTGATTTCCCTTTTGACATGGAATGTTTTATATGGCTTTGGAGTGTCCCATCCATATAAAGTGCTCAGAAATGCTCAGAAGACATTTAGGGAAAATTCACACATAGTGTAAATTAATTTGTCAAAAATAAAAGCAATATAAACCAATGTATATTTTCATACCCTGTAGGAGAGGGTGGTGGAAATGGCTGTGAAGAAATAGGAGGTACCAGCCTGAGGCAAGATGTTGTTATTATCTCCAATTCACATCCAATTTCTCTGAACTCTTTTAGGATATTCTCATTGAATCATATATTTCTTGATGAGTTTTCTGCTTTTGATGACCAGTATAAAAAGGAGTAAAGTGTTTATTCATATAAAGTAGATGATTTGTTAAATTACTGTCCTCTGGACAGACAGAGATAAATCAGTGCTGTGCCATTAGTAGTTCCTAGTGCAAAGCAGATTTCATCTGACATGATTATGATGGTTAGCTGTGGTTTAGGTCCAATGAGACATCCCTTTAGTCAGAATACTCTACTACTGTATGCTGTCTCTTTAATAGAGATTAGTAAAGCTGAACTGCAGTGGTTTCCATCCTCCTTACACAAATACATGTTTAAAGAAATGCAGGGGTGTTTTTTTATTTTTAAGAAATTAAATACATGCATTTGTTTGCAGTAACTTTTTAATGATGAACTAGTGGTTCTGATAAGCTTTGAATTTCTAGTGTTATTTCAAGTTGAATACAAAGTTGCTAAGTTGATAGAATTGATGAGAATTTCAGTTGTAGATTTTTCCTGTTTCCTATAAAAAAATGTTTTGTAATTTTTCATTAATGACACTTTGGGGGGGAAAGAGAGGCTAAAATATTTACTTCACTGCACAGACCCTAACAGTTGAAGTTGCTATTATATATTCATTGATACTGCTGTATTGTTTCTATCTTCATTTTTATTTTAGAGTTTTAGATGAAAGTCAGTGCACATTTCTCTCAAAATATTGGCTTTCCACCAGGAAGAAATTTATAAGCATTTACCTTTATAAATATTGATTTTTGAGATGCAAAATTTTGTCGTGTTTTCAAAGTCCATCCAAAAACCTGCTTCCTGGCTCATTTTCTCTATTTTAGTCCCAACTGTACATTGCTTCTACAACTTTCTTTACAAGACTGAAACATAGCCTAATCTTACTAGTCTGAGACAGTCTTTCTAAATCTTCCATTAGAATAGCATCTAGTTGCCTAGAAGTAGTTACAGGATCTGCACAGATAACTTTCTTAATGTTAAGTCTGTATTTTCAAGTTCTTTATTTCCTTTTGGTATTAGGTCTCTCAGTGCCATTTAAATGTGTGTTTATTTCTGTCATGGATATATATGTAATGTTTTTCACCTATTTTCAGACTCTAATCATCAAAGTGACAAATTCTGAAATAACTCAGACTCCCAGTTATCTTTTTCGATTAAAAGCCTAACCCTGCAGGCTTTGGGAAATGTCCAGCTGTGTACTCTTAATTTTTTAATCTGCTTTTCTAAATCAGCCCTTCTACCTGATTGATCATCTTGGCAGTTTTTCCTCCAATTCTTTTTGTAACCTCAAGCTGGAGGGAGCACAGAAGGATTTCTCAATGTCAAGATGGACTAGAGCAGCTCACTTCCCAAATCTGAATGGGAATGTCATATGGACAGTTTTTATTTTTCCTTTCTTTTCAAGTGTGTTGCATAGAGCAGAGGGGATGATACATAACATCAGGGAAATAAGGACCTGTAATGGTACTTCAAGGTGGTGCGAAGACTAAAGAATGCATTCCTCTTAGAATTTTTTTTTTTTTCTGAAATAGATACATACAGCAAGTTAGTTTCATGATTCTTAATATGTGGGTTCTCATTCCTTTAAGTCTTCAGTCCCCGCCTTTTTCCTCCTGTTGAATGCAGTAGCATATTACTTAAAATATGAATTGTGGAGGCATGTATGACTGAATGAAGGATTTTCATTCTTTCCATCTCTTCATTTTCCTTATGTGAAGCTTGTCAGTATTACTATTTTCAGCTAGTTTATGTGCTGGTAGCTGAGATGTTCTTCTGAAAGACAATATCTAAGAGAAGCAATACTAGAAGTCTTAGAAATATGCACTCTGCAGTGCAATGATAAAACTATGTGAACAAAATCATTATCAAAGAGCTGTTATGGTTTGTATTAAAAGTGTTTTTAATAATATCTCTAAAAATACATGTTCTTAACTGCATACTCTTTGTGTCTCTCTCTCCTTCCAGATTGATTTTCTTTTAGGAGTGACATTTATTAACCCTGAAAAAAATGGGCTCTTTCACTTACTCAAGTAATTCTGTTTAAAATTATTTCCTTGGAACACTTGAAAGCGTTACACAAACTTGAGCTTTATTGATCAGACTTGATTTCTGAGTTTCTGTAGAATTTGTGCCTTTACACTGATTTGTTGCAATACAGTGGACATAAAGCCCTGTTGGGCAACAATAATACATGCAGTGGTACATAGTGCTACTTAAATAACATGACTTTATTGCATATATTTTTAATGGTATAATGAGTATATTAATCACCAGGAAGGCCCGGAGTTCCAAATAAATTTCTTAGCATGTCATATATTTCTATGTTATTTGTTGTTAATTTTAGCCAGCTTTTGATACTTGTATTTAGTTCTTATTGACAGTGTCTGCTCTTGCACATCAAAGGACAAGAATTAGCTTATTCTCTCTTTTTTTTTTTTTTTTTATTTTTAAAAAAGTCTTAATTCACAGCATTTGCTTATTAATTGAAGCAGTTTAAAAAGGAAATCTTTCCAAAATGGCGAAAGAGATGCTTTTTAATGAGAACAGCTCGTATAGTAAAACAGCAGACTTCTTTCCACACAGTTTTTGAGGCATCCTTGTTACAGATTTTGAGTAGGCAGGACTATGCAGAAGGAGAAGTGTACACTCCAAACATCAGTAACATGCCCATAGGCAATTTGCAAATTATAAAACTAGTCTAAAGGAGAATATTTTAATATACCACTTATATGTCCCAGATTCACAGAAGGGCATTTAAATAGTTAAGATTACAGAATATCATCATAAGCATAGGAAGATGCCCAATTCACTGGCTTCATTTGCTCGTAAATACACTTGTCTCTTGGGATTAATCTTCTGAAATGCTGAAATATTCAGATAAGTGGCATGCATTATTTAATGTTTCCAACTTTTTGCTAAGTAATTGGTGACACTTCATACAAAAAATTTTTTGAATTTCCATTCTCTTCTGTTTCTCCTCATTTGTTCCTCCCTTCCTTTTTTTGTACATTTATTCTTTTTAATTTTTGCTGCAGTTTGTTGCTCTGCCTTGCCTGCCTCCTCCTCCTGATGACAGTTCTCTACAAGTTCAAAGAAAGTTCCTTGCTTTTTGTTTTGCTTTATATTCTGTTTTCATCTGTGTTTTTATTTGGATACGAGCCTTACTGTGTCCTGAGTGATAAGAAGAAGAATCTCTTCCCCATACCTTTCTCTCCTCTGAGCTCTGCTATATTATCTGCGTTGATATATGTGCTTTGTCCCACTGTAGTCCATCCTTCCTGTGTCTTTCCCACTTTTTGTTCATTTAATCCATTCACTTTTAATTTTGGCTGTCATTTTCTCTAAATCTTTCTGGAACCCTTCCCCTTTGCCCTTCCAGGATTTCTCTTAGCTGCTTGTCCCAGAGAGCACATACCTCTAGTCTGAGATGTGGATGAGTGTTTTATTCCCTGTAAGAATAAGTACCTAGCATTTTCCTCTCTCATCCATGTATAGGTTGACCTTGCTCTTGGTTTGTAGTGAAAAACCATATATTTAATTGACAGTCAGCTATGGCCGTTATCTCCCAAATGCTGCCTCCTGCCTCGTTTTGGGTTATGGGGATGAGACATGGTGTTTGCATGAATTTTCTGGAGCACAGCAAGGGCTGGCTTGCTTTACTAGCCATTCAATCTGGCAGGTACAGAATTGCATCAGGGTTGGGCAGAGACACCTTGCCAGACCATTGAACTGCATTTGTATTTCAGTATGGGAAATACTGAGGCCCAAGCTTGTACACAGCCATTTAAATTCATTGATACAACATGAAGCTGAAGAATAAATGAAGTTAAGAGGGCCCATTCCTAACAGGTGCAGGAACAGGGATCATTCCTCTTGGGAGCAATTTGACTTGTCAGGTTTGTGGGACAGGTCTATATGCAACCCTTCCTAGAGGCAGAGGCAAATGGCTTGCTTTCAAATTCCATAAAATACAAGATTAAGCACTCATCAGATAGGTTAGGCAGAATATTCTTGTTGGAGAAGCTTGTAGAAGTTGATGGGAATAAGATAATTGAAAAGCTCAGCAGTATCTTTGAAGGTTAGAGCCTGTGTTAGAGAGGGAGCATACGTGAGAGAGGTACAGGAGGGAAGGGAGTGCAAGACTAAACAGGACAAAGAAAAGCAGGGAGAATGTGATTCCAGTGTGTATGGTTTTGCCACGAGTTGTTGATTTTGTTTTGATTAAGCTTTGGAGCTTACTTTAATTTGTAATGGCAACTATTTTCAGTTTTCTTGGTTGCATGCAGAGACTTTAAACCATGAGTCTAAACTGATGCACTAACAGGAGCATGTGAAATTATTAGCATTTCTACCTATAATTTAAGAGGGATCTGACTCACAGCAAAGTCCCACTAGAGGTGCATGGAAAAGAGGTTGCTTCCCAGGAGCCAGGATGTATATATGTGCGCTCCAGAGGTAGCTCTAATGTAGATTTAATTCTGAGATGATTGTAAGGCATTTGCTAATGGTATTCCTCCTTACCAAATCACCAACATAGGAGGCAAGGGAGAAGCATTATTTTATAGGGTCTGTGTCTTGGATTTATACTGCTTAAATATAATTTGCTAGGAACCTATGAGCTGTAATTTTATAATGTTTAGAGAGGATGAATGGAGTTGGTATAGTATTCCTGAGGGTAAACACCAGCCACTGGATTTTTCTGAACATGACTAGAAATTTTAATTTTAGGAACACAGAGTTCCTCCATTTCATATGCACACTAGGCATTTGAGTACAGCTCCTTTTTTTAATTCATCACTGACAAGCTGTGATTTATTTCCTCATGGGTCATGGGCTGTACTTCCTGCAGTGCAGACGTCTCTGGAGGGAAAATGTTATCAAATGGAGAAGCATACTTAAATTCTCCCCTCTTGATCCCAGTCTCTTCTGAGCTACTTTTCTCTGATTGTGGTTCTGCCAGTAAGCTGGGTTGATGTCAAAAGGGGATTCATGCATTTTTATCCTCTTCTGTGTGGCTGAGAAAAAAAAAAAAATGCAAGAAAAACTTTGCAGAGGAATAGCTGATTGGAAGAAGTGGGGCACTTCATCAGCTGGCAGCGTACTTTGGGAATTTTCTACTTTTGTGCTTTACTTAGTGATTATGTTTACAAATATGTACAGCTACTGTGATTTACCTTTCCATTAACCATATATATATTTCTCTGCAAAAGGGGAGGTCGTTCTAAAGAATGTCGCACTAATGCACTGCAAGCGTGATTTTAGGAGACATCAACTACCTGCCCTTCCTCACCTAAATGAAATTACCATAGTATCATTGCTCTGTATTTATGAAGCTGCCCTAGGAATATCAATTCACCCTGGATTAAGTATTGGAGAAAGATTTGGAGAGATAATGAGAATTGGAATGGGAGAATTTTCTATTTTAAGAGTAAAGGATGAATACTGGCATGTTTACAGTGCATCTGGGGCTGTTTCTGCACAGGTGGGTCCAAAATCTCCAGACTCAGACAGATAAATCATATAGATATTGTTGTCATTATCCATGTGAAAAAAAAAAAAAAAATTGGTAATGAAACCAAGCCCAATTATTTTGGCTAATCAGAGCTACAGCTCTTGATAAATACATATAAAAATCAAAACTAGACTTGACATACTCCTTGTGAAAACTCACAAAGCATTTCTTGCTACCCCATTGTTCATGTGGAGCATTGTTTATTTGTCACTGCAGGGCCAAATTCTACCCTAATTTATGACCATGCAGTTCCACAGACATTGTCAGTTCAGCTTTGTGTTATGGAAGAAAGGTGCTCACCCATGACAAATTTGAAATGCAGCTGCAGGCTGAAATTGCTCATCATCTTACACATCTGTACTCACCCAGGTGACCAGCTGATTTTCACCTGCAATTCTTATTTCTGTGGCTATCATGAGAGTACTTTAAATAGCTGTAAGCTTATTACAGCCAAGGTAGAACTTAGTTTTTGAACTACTTGCAACTGCTTTTCCAGAATATGATCAGCAAATGCTTAACACTGTTTCTAAATGGATTTCTAACAAAGGGGCCCTTCCAATCCATGGAAAGGCTCTTAGCAGTCATCAGTATGCTACAGTTCATACCTTCAACATATGTGACTACGCAGTCCTCTCCTTCTACCTTTGCACATTCTAGTATTGTGAAAACAGTACATGCCTTTTCCTAATTTTGATTCAGGAGACCTTGACTTTCAGCAGGTTTCTTTGTATACGGTATCAGGGCTCAAGGGAAGAATTAAATTAATCCATAACTGGTGCATTGTCATAAATGGGAAAAAGTGTTTTTTGTATATTTTTGTAAATATGTAACATTTAATGGCAGTTTTGTAGTGATGTGATGGTTTTGAGAAAAAAAAAAAAATCAAATATATGTTTGAATATACTTAATGTGACACTTAACTGTGATTCAATTGCACAATTAATAGCTTAATCAAAAGTCTTGTGCAATATGTAGTTCACACACATAACCAAGTATCTGTTAGTGATCCACAACCAAGTTTTTGTCAACTTTTAACGATGGTGATGAGCTGTGCAGTACAGATTATCACGGTCTCTTTCAGCTTCCAAACATGTAGCAGGCAAACTACTGTATACGTACCTGTGTACTCCACTGCATCCAAAGGTATGCATTTGTCCTGAGAACCTGCACTACAGGTTTTTCTTTAATAAAATTTGTTCTAAACTATTGGTTGCTTTGTTTTTTCTTGTGAAGCATTTAATGGGATTTATGCAGGGAAAAGGGTTTAACCAGTCCCCAGAGTTTGTGTGGGTTTTGATTTGTCGGTAGTTATCAGCAAACTACTCAACATCAGCAGCACTGAAATCAAAGGCTGCAGAAAAGCTTCATCTTCCTCCACTTTAGCCACTCCACTCCATCCTCCTATACTGCTGCTCAACTGCACTTCTAGGGAAAAGTCCTTTTACCCCGTTTCCCTAGTAGAGCGGCTGAAGTATAATTGGCATGAGGGTGACACTCTGTGGTGAGACTGAAGCCATGCAGCTGCAGTTGAAAAATATGTTCTAGAACTCTGCTGCAGCAAAGGCTGAATATTTCTGTCTAGCTAAAGAATTAAAGACTTCAGCAGCTTTCAGCTTTGATCTCCCTATAATAGAACAAAGCTCTGTGTGTTCTTCTGCCCTTTCCATGTCTTTATTCTAATCTCTTCCATTTTTATTGGCTTCACACACTACTTGCTCCTTAATTACTCTTTTTTTCTTTATTAACTGCATTGTCTTTCCTTTATCCCACTCTCTTCCTGGAGATTTGCCTGTGCTGTATAGAAGTTGCATCCTTCTTGCAAAATTGAGGTGTCTGAAAATCAAACCTTGTCCTTAAGGTAGCTTTATGCAAAGATTGGGCCCTGGCTTTCAAAATGCTCTGTGACTTATCCTGACAAGTGCTCTCTGTCTTTGCAAAGGTCACTGAATTGCTGAAGTAAAAATGTGCCATGCATCCCTACAATTCAGACATCCTTCCCTGCCTTTCGGAGGGTTTTTTGAGTTTTGAGGTGAACTGCTACAGATTTAGCTCAGTTTGAGGACTGGAACACAGTTCATGGTTTGCTGACGGGTGGTTGCAGCAGTGGCTCGGGGCAGAGGCTGAGCCTTCACAGAGAAAGCCTGATGCTGGCAAAAGAAAAACTTGACAGTTCTTTTCACTGCCTAACACCCACAACAGGGAAGAGCAGAGATGTGAAGTCTTACGAAACCTCATGATGGGACAAAGCAGCAATATAAACCATTATCTACCATTTTTTTCATTAGCCATAGAAATTTTACAGACTACAATGAAGTTTTAATGGGAGAGTGAATGGATTATTTATTCATGGAGTTAGTATATTTTGAGGATCAGAAGATAGGCAGTTAAAAGGAACAATTTCCAAAATATAAGTTTAATTTTCTCAGTCTGACCTAGTTGAGCACTTTCTCAGAGTCCCTGCTGAAAGACTTATCAGCCAGAGGAACCCTATGGTATGGGCTGTACAATCCTATCCTGTGACACATCATGCTAAATGTGAGGCTGGGTTTAGAAATGAAGCTGTAGGCTTTCCCTACTTGTGTAACTCAGCTAGAAAACATTTTGATGGTTGCCATTTTAGGTTCTCTAATCCTATATTGTGGCTAGGTAAGACCTTAAACTGCAATTTATCACTAAAAAAGCAGCCTATTGAATTTCAAGTGACTAGGTTTCATTTTCCCAATTTAATGCTCCGATATAAACAAAAGTAAAACATCTAAAAGGATCCTAAAGTCTCCTATTTTTAATGATGTTCCAGTAGTTCTTTCTGAGGAAAGCTCCGGAGTTGGAAGGGCAGGAATGAGAACAGGCATGGACAAGATGTTCCTATAAGTGAGACACCAAATGAAACTTGCTAATACTTAACCCGAAGGGCTACTTTACTTCAGAGACCAATTTCCATGGCAAAAGAAGAAGATAATCACTTCACTTCTGTTTCCTTTGTTGTCCTCATCGAAGTCATATTAATTGTTACACTATTTTTAAGCCTGTTTTAAACATCATAATAAATTATGACTCTATAAGAAAACTTCTGGGTCATAAATAGCATCCAGTATTTTTCTTCCTGTTGTCCATTAACACACTGATTTATTTTCCATTTTTTTCTTTTTGTGATTTATGCCATGAAAGATGCTTTGCTTTAATATGAATCCAGCTGCTGTGGTGAAAATGTTGCTGTACCCTGACCCTCGTGGTTTTCTAAGCCTGAAGCAAACTGGTAGAAATGCAGCTCAGTGTACTTTTAACATGATAGGAGGATCTGTTCTCACCATTACAGCATCACACCAAAAACTGACCTTCAAAAAACCTCTGAAGCAGCAGTACATGCTAAAAGATCAGGTTTAAAAAGTAATAATTCAAAGCAATAATTCAGTGACAGCAATTATCAGTCTATTTAAAAATTAATAATGAAACCAGGAATTAAGCTTTTCACTTATGCTCAACTCAGGACTATGTAGCTTTAATTCTACTGAGCTATAATTCTATAAAATCTAATAGGAAAATTATTTCCTTGACATCAGGAGAGATTATTGAAGAGGAATATCCTTGATGTAATTTCATTGTTTTGGTTATTTAATATATTGTGAAGGAATGATATTGCATTGTCCTTATCTTAAGACAGGTGATTGCATTATAAATCAAATTGAAAAAAAATATGATACATTATTTTATAGGTGAGAATGCTTTTGTAACTGCTGGTGGGAAAAACTACGTAGTCTTCTATGAAAGAAACCAGCTTCATTTAACAGTAGCAGTATGGCAGAGAAACAGGGGGAGCACATGAGGACACTTACCCAGTAGCACTTCCAGCCTCCATCTACCCTGGAGCAGGACCCTTCTGCTTTGGCGCTGGTAGCCTTGTGTTTGATAGCCTGAAGTAATTCTTTTCTGCCACGAATTTTGCTTATTGTTTATGGACCTGTACAAGTTTTTAGCATCTGTAAAATTCTGCAGCACCAAGTTCCGTAGCTGAATTGGGCAGTGAGTGAAGGTACCTCTATGTAGTTGTTTTGAACCTGCCCCATTAACTTTGATACCCTCAAGAGTATGTACAGTTAGTGAGAGGGACTATTTCAGTCCCCATTCTGCTGCAGGTTTTTATAACAGTTTAACATATTCCCTTCCCTCCTCAAGAATTTTTTTGGTTAACACTGAAAAGGCCTTATCTTTCTTTTCTGCTTGAATTTAACTGTAATATCAATAATGTTTTCCCTTGTATAGAGGGGTTGCTATGCTTTTGGATTTCTTTCTTGGCCTTGTACCATCGCCCATACGAGTTTATTTATGATAGTCTCTGCCCAGACTTTAGGTTATGTTCTATAGGTCCTAAAGCAGATAATGGAGGTATTTGAAGTGATTGGTGGATTGGTGGGTGGTTTTCTATTTTTTACCACTTGTTTGTTCAAGTTGTACAAGTCAGACAGGGTCTACAGCTATTTGTTGCATTTTAGACCACAGGATATTTTTTCACTGTGCTTTTTTTTTTTTTTTTGTTGTTGTTGTTGTTGTTGTTGTTGTTGTTGTTGTTGTTTGTTTGGGGTTTTTTTGTTTTTCCTAATTATTGTTACTATACAGTGCATGGATCTAACTATTAAAACAGATGATCATCTTGGGTGTAGTACTATATCAACACTCATAATTGTCTAGATTGGTTATTTGTTGTTGTAGGTTTGGGGTTTTTTGGTTTGGTTTGGGTTTTGTGTTTTTTTTCTTCTTTTCTTCCCACAGGCAGCTCTTTCTGTATTTCTCTACACTAAATTTCTTCTGACATTTTAATCACTGGTGAAGTTGTGTAAGGTATTTCTGAAAATCCTTGTAGTTGGGTTTTAGGGTTAATATCCTGAATATATTACTAACAGCAATTTTTTCATTGCTTTTTTTCCCCACAATTATTTCTGAATATTCTGATATGCACAGGGCTCAGACCCCAAACCTGTGGGATCCCAAGACTGACTGGAAAGGCCAAGGCCACTGGAAATAGAGAATTTATGCCCTTTTTTTGTGTGTTTACCAACCAGTTATTTATCCTATTGGGCCTTTTCCTTTTCTCCTGTAGCTACATAAACATCTTCAGTAATGGCCCTTGTCAAAAGTGTACTGAAGAAATCCAGGCAGATTATGTTCTTTTCCTGGATGCTTACTAATAGCCTCACAGACCTCTTAGCACTTCATGAGCAATGACACCCCAGTATAAATCCTTCATTGACTCTACACCAGCACAGTGATTTCACAGTTTGTTCACTAATTCTTCACTTTATTATACCATCTATCAACTTGCCCAGTACAGCTGTAAAAGTCTGTGTTTCTTGATTTCTTCCCTCTCCATTTGAAAAATGGTGTCACATTTGCCATCATTCGTTCTCTAGCCAGGAGTCCTTCTTTATAAAACCCTGTGCTCAGGTCCTGTAATGAGGGGTGTGATGGTATTCAACTTATGCACAAAATTTTAAAAAATACATTAAAAAAAAGAGGAACTTAACATTAAAGCACTGAAATTCTTACAGTGTGGGTGCCCACCTGCAGGAATAAACCACAATGAAGTAAGTTAGGTGTTGGTGGAGTCTTTCATAGTGAATGCCTTTGGGATGCAACTGGGTAGACTAAATATTAAATACTATGATCCTCTTTAAGGCTTTTTTAGGCCCTGAGCCTGAGTAAATTAAAGTATTAATTTTCTAATTTTTGCATATATACTATAATAATATTACATATTATATAGTACTGTTCTAAATATATGTTTATATCTATAACATATACATACTTTTATAAAACCTGTCCTATATATTTTCTACAGAGATTCCTTCTTTGTCTAGAGAAATACTAATAATTTGCTTTGCTTTTGAAGGCTTTTCAGTTGACAAAAGGCAGAAAAGGATTCTAAGCTTTGATTAAGCAGACAAAAAGCTGTGTCTACTTGAGAGACAATTCCTACTAGTTATACCACCATGATAATTTACAAATGCTGATCGCTTCCTTCTCCTGAGGTCAAGGAGGCAGTAAGTACAGAAAGGAAACCAATTAGACTACTTTATAATAGTGCTTCCCTGAGTTTGGTAAAATGAAATGTACTTTCTACTTAAGCATGACATTTGGTAATACTTTTAGTGTAATTGGAGCAACAGCTAAATCTAAGAAAAGCAACAAGGAGTAATTGTGGCTTATCACTTTTCAATCTCATCTGTCAGTTATCTATAAGGAATTGCTATATTTATCATTAAGTAGACTGATAATTAGCTCAGTTTGATTTTAAGCCACTTCAATTTATTAGGGGTAATTTTTAGTGTTTTGCATTTTACATTATTTATGAATGGCTTTGACATCTGAGCAGAGTGATACAGTAGCACTAGATAAGTGGCAACTTCTGCTGTGAGCTCTAAATACATTGGAACTTCCATTTTCATTGTTGAGTGAGCCTTGAGGTAGACTGCATTCAAGTTGCAGAAGGTCATCACACAGCTAAATGGGGACAGAACCGATACCAAAAAAAATACTAATTATAGCTTGTCTAAGCATTTTTCAACCCAGTGGCATGGGAGAATGGTACTCAGTTGAGAATGACTATTGCGGGTATCCTGCTGAGGTGTCACGTACTTATTATACTGACAAGTGCCAAGAGACAACAATGCAAATACTTCTTTTTTTGACAGGTAACTTTATTAATAATGGCCTTGGATCTGTCACACCTACCAGGTGCCAGTCTTTTTCACACTCTGCAAGACATTCTGAAGAATAAACTAGTAAGGCGTAAAGTGAGTTGAAGCTACTAAGACACACATTTGAAGGTGGGTCTCTTTTGGACCTTTTTTTTTTTTTAACAGAAGTTTCCATGAATGTGTGTCAAAAAACTTAAATACATTGAGAAATACAGTAGAAAGACTATATTTACAGTCAATTATAATGGGCACTGCCAACATATCCAATAACAAAAATAAAACAAAAACATTTTTCATGTTTCTTTCATGCTTTTTTCACAGAGATTTTTTTTAAATATGATTTTGTTTTTCAAAAAATACAATAAGGAAATAATTACATTCTTAATATGAGAACATTATCTTACAACATACAGCCTGGGCCAATTAATTTGAAAGTGTCAGTAACAAAAATTAATACTAAATTAAGTATTATCCATTTTAAAAATTAAATTGCCACAATCATCTCATTTTAAAAAACACCTTTTATCCCCCAAAGTTATGATCTGTTTGTTGTCTTTTTTTTTTTTTTTTTAAAAAAAAAAAAAGCATCACTCATTAAAAAAACAATTAAAAAAAGCACCTGGTACAGTAACAGGAGTTTGTTGAGGAAGCACAAGTGTAACATTTTCTTAAAAGACAGAAATACTTTAAAATACAAGAGTTTTACTTTAAAACAAAAGTCATGCTGCTCTATTGCTGACTTTGCCTGGTGATCCTGAAATCTAAAAATGGTGAAAATACAAGATCTGTTGCTTTTTATAAAAAATTGTGCACCAATAGTTCTAAACAGAGTACATTTCACAGCACTGTATGTGGTCTATAGAGAGGTTATTTCCAGAGGTTTTTTTGTTTTCCTCCTTTCAAAACCTTGGCCATTATATAGAATAGACATGCCATTAATGCAGATTTCAACGGTACCAATGTACTTAAACATTAGAGACATACAATTACAGTACGTGCCGGATTGGGGGCAAGGACGAAAGGCAAAAGAAAGAGGCTTAATTTTGTCGGCAGCCCCTGCTGCAGCGGGTGCTATAGGTGCTGAGGGTGCTATAGGTGCCAACGGCGACCGGCATCTCTGACAGAGCAGAAGGCCGCAGCGCTGGGGCTGAGTGCACGGTCCCAGCACCATATGATTTCTGTTTGCTTGGACAGAAATTTGCACAGTTCTAGCCCAGGCACAGATTAAAACCTCTCCTTGCCAAGGAATTGGCTTTTTTTTTCATGGGATATAGGGGTGGAAGAAACAATGCCAATCTTGGGTAAACAAGACTAGTGATTTGGCTTTTGACTACTCTGCATTACTTGATGTGGGACCACTTCTTAATGGCAACTGTTAAATCATTGCAAATGTTGACTAGAAGCCTAATTTGCATCATAAATATGTACAGATATAAATTAAATATTTATTGAAATATACAAATAAATAACTTAATTTGAAATAAAAAGCCTAAATGAACTTACTTTTGCTTCAAATTTGTTTCTGCTAATATTTATGGGAACTTGATACTGTTTAGTCCATAGTCATACAGCATAGAATGTGCCCTCTTCTATAGAGTTAGTGAGTAAGCAGATGACCTAAAATAATATTTAAAAATCCTGTTTTCACTGACACTGTTTCCCTACTGTATCTGCATTGTTGCGGCACTTTGTACAAAGCACAGTCCCAAGGAGCAAAGAGCCTTTTCTCATGTTGGGCCCCATTTCTACTCTGCCATGGTCAATGGGATCCCTGGCACTAATTGCATTTGGGAACAGGACACAGACCTGTGTCCTAGAAGTTATCAGGTCTTTCTGATAACCCTGTGCCTTCAAATCCCATCAGTTCCTGCGGGAAGTCTTCCAGCATCCAGCTCAGCTGGGAATCCCCATATACCCATCAGGAGTTATACACACATATTCATTCCTAAAAGTAAGAGACAAACTATAGGCTGGGCCATAAAGGAATGTGATCCTTGATAAATGCTGTCTTGCCAACTTCTATAGTTTTAATTGCAAGTCTTAACTAATTATCAAGATTCCAGCCCTAACATCTGTGATTATCTCAAAATATGAGTAGTATTTTAATTTTTTAAATTAAAGTAATTTTCTAATCCTCACAGTTGAGGAGGAAAAAAATCTCAAGAATGTGATTGAAGGCTCTCCAAATGCTTTAAAAAAAACAGAGAAAAAATTAAAAGAACCCATTAGATTTTTTTTTAGAAAAAAACTCATTAGAAAAAAACTCATTAGATGTTTTTTTTCCCTTCTCTCTCCTGATTTTTTTAAAGCAAATCTTGAGATTTTGAAAGACATTAGTTGTCTATTTACTGCATGTAAGTTCTCAGGAGTGACATAGATGGAGACAAAGAAGAACAGATTTCTATAATTTTACAGACTAAAATGCAAGACACTGTTTCCTAGTAAACAGAAATGAACTCCTGTCTGAGAAAATCCCCAATTTTTTGCAAAATCGCTTATAGAAGAGTCTGGAAATCATCATCTTTTCAGTCCTTCTTCCTCAAAAATAATAGCTGAGGTCTGAAAAGATGAAGTAAACTAAGTACAGCAGTGTTCTACAACTCAAGTTTAACAATAATATATTATAAAAAACAAAACAAGACGGACTGCATAAGCTATTCTGAGTTGCCATTATCTGTTGAGGATTAATTTCAATTACATTTTCTTTTTCATTTTCAAAAAGTATAGAAAAGAAGCAGTATCTAAAAATACGTGTTTACCTTTTAAAAAATCAGGAACAAGTCATAGTTCAACAACACGACCTTTGAAAATGACTGGTACTACAGAATAGTAATAAAGAGAACATACTAAAATGCATTTTTTTTTCAAAGTGTGGCAGCTTTTTATCTCCCAATGACAAAAGCATCTGTCTAAAAAGTATCCAAAAAATGCTTCACAGCTGGGTCGTGTCATCCCATGGTCTCACACCAGTGTAGAAGACAGTGGCACTGAAGAGTTCCTGCCTTCTCAGCCAAGCAAGCCATGCCATTTCTGTGAATACATTTCTTCAGTTTTCTTTTGCCATGTGAACAGCTAACAGCAAAGTGACTGCTAATGAGCAAGTCTTTGCTCAGCCACCTCTGTGGCAGACCTCAAAAGTCAGTTTTAACCTGTAAGAGTTATGATTTCACATTGGTCTTAACACATCAGTCTTCAGAGGTGTTCCGGCCATCTGATGTGATGTAATTAATATTGCTGGTCTATGCTGTCTCAGTAAACTTTCAACTGCGACTTTATGCTCCTTTTTAATTACTATGGTTGGTTTGTTTTTTTTGGTTTTCATTTTCTTTACCAGTGGAGTCGGAAATAAAGACTTTACAGCTAATAGAAAGGGGCACACAAAGTTACACAGAAATACAGTAGAGGGAATACAGGCAAATTAGCGCCGAGCTACCATTAACTTAACAGAATTATAAAAACTCTTATGTTGTATCGCTTGATACCACCTTTCAGATGAGTCTTTTGCAGCCTATGTCTTGGTCCATAATAGGTAAGGCCTTTATGGAAAGTGAGTGGTTTTGCTACACTTATGTTCCATTTTTCATCTCCCATTCCTGGAAAGGGAGAAAAAAAAAGAAGATGCAAAAAACGTTAGAGAAATCAGAATATTTCACTGATGTCATCAGATCTGCGAAGCCACAGCCATTTGAGGTCAGTAACGGTTTTTCCATTAACTTCACTGGATCCAGCCTTCTGCCCACAAATTAGTTAGGGAATGCTAACAAGTATGTGCTGATAGTGTCAGTGTATAGGTTCCACCCCTCCGTAACAATATATAGCAACTTTTGTTCTAGCACGGAGCAAATAAGCCATGTTTGTTTTCTGTAAAGGGTACTTATGGAGGAAATTTGCACACCACAATTGGCAAAAAGCACTCAGCTGGAGCTGAGTAAGAGAGGTGCTGATTTAGCATCTATAGTATCCTGGGTTTGAGTGAGTGGTGGGGTTTTTGGTAGCAGGGAAGGGGGCTACAGCCGTGGCCGCCTGTGAGGAGCTTCTTGAGGGTCCCCTGGCTCCAAGTCAGCTCCAACTCTGCACCAAGGCTGAGTCAATTAGCTGTGCCTCTGCAATAACATATTTAAAAAGGACCTGAGAGGATGAGTTGGAATAGTGAGGAGGAGTTGTGACATCTGTGTGAACACCAAGGTCAGTGGAAGAATCGAGGAGGAAAGTGGGGGAGGTGCACCAGAGCAGAAACTCCCCCGTATCCTGTGGTGAGATGGCAGGGCAGCCCCCCATGCCACCCATGAAGGTCTGTGGTGGAGCAGATGCCAACATGCAGTCTGTGGGGATCCCCACACTGTTAAATGTGACCGTGTCTGAAGGAGGCTGGGATCCTGTGGGAAGAAGCAGCCCTCACCGTTGTAGTTCAGTGCTGGGAGGATTGCAACATGCGAGAGTGTCCCATGCTGGAGAAACTGGGGAAGGGCTGCATCCCATGGGAAGGACTCAAGTCAGAGAAAGTTTGTGGAGGACTGTCTTATGTGAGATGGGGACCACACTGAAGCAGGGGGAACAAGTCCCAGAAGTTGCCCCCCACCCAAGCTGGAAGAAGCGGCAGCACTGACTGCACGCCCCAGTCCCTGTCCCTGCACTGCTGGGGGAGGAGGTAGAGATATTGGGAGCAAAGCTGAGCCCAGGAAGAAAGGAGGGGTGGGGGAAAGTGTTTTCAAGATGTGGTAATGCTTCTCACTGTCCCACCCTGCCTATTAAGTGTTGTTGTTTTTAGTGTCTGTATTAAATTTACTTTTTTCTTCACCTAACAAGTCTTTTGCCCATGATCATAATGGGTGAGTCATCCCTCCCTGTCCTTATCTCGAATCCTGAGCCTTTGCTTATTTTCTCATTCCCAGTGCTGGGGGAGAAGTGGGGAGTGAGCTGCTGTGTAGTGCTCAGTTGCCCTCTAAGCTCAAACACCAACATAGGTTTTTCTAACTTGCTGAGACAGCAGGAAGCATTCAGTATCTCTCATGGCTGACACCAAGTGATTGCTTTGCTAATCTTCAACGTTTTTATCATACAACTCATGGCAGACACACATTTCTATGGGTAAAAAGGGCAACTTACTAAGGCAGAGAGACTTACAGTCAGGGTAAAGAAAATCAAGTTAGTCTATATTGCATTTGTTTCCCTTATACATAATCTAAGTTGAGCTGTCAGCTGACAAGTTAAAGAAATCACTTTGACTTTCTGTACTTCAGTTTCCACACCTGTTAGCTAAGGACAATAACACCTACCATCCTCAGCAAAGCACAAATTCTATAATGCTGTCATCCGTATGCCTCAGAGCAAGGTATTGACATTTATTCTGCCGTATAAGTGAAAATCATGAGATTGTTATAGCTAAACAGCCAGTGAAATCAAACTTGTGGCTCTTGAGTGATACCTACAGTATTTCCTAACAGTACACAGGAGCAGAAGAGGGATGAGCTCAGCTTAGGGCATCCACAGTCCCTACTCCCTGAATCACACCCTTACAGTGGTCCGGAACTAATGAAGATATGAAGGAGCTGGCCTCTCACTGCAGTAATCCCCATGGAGCAACTGCCCAGCTGCTCCTAGCCAGGCATGGGGGTCTACAGATTCCTCTCCCACCCAGCTACTCTGCAGAAATACTCTGAAGGCAGCCTGCTGACTTGGCTCCCAACCTGAATTCCTGAATTTAACACTCATTCCACAACATTTAAGAGCTCTGACTGAAAACCGTTACTTATGTATGTAAATATGTTTCTGCTGCTGAAAGCAGTAATAGCATTAGTTTGGCTGAACAGCTGCATGACCACACCTTTTCAACCATTGTAAAGCAACAGTAAAGGTCACAGTTGGTGGCTGCTTTAGTAATGTAAGAAAAAAATCTTGGGTTTAAAACAGGTTGACAAGAATTTTTTTTTTTTTTTTTTTAATATTATGGCTTTTTTTTTCATTCATTTAAATTGTGCTTTTACTAAAATACAGTGTATTTTAAATATTCAGTTTTACACTTTGAATTATAGTAAACCTAAACTTAAACCACATTATTGGCAAAAAACAGATTAAAATGGCTATTAAATATATATTCCCTATGTATATGCTACCAAAGCTCTAAAGGAAGCCCCTGGCTAAGCAACTGGGAAGAGAATTTTGTAAAGCATTAAATAAGCCTTGAAAGCAGTAGCTTCTTTTGCAGGTGCAGAAGGAACTTTTTCTCCATTTCCATTTCTCCAGCAGGTTCACACCAATGAAAGCATATTTAAGGCAAGACTGGCAGCCTGACTGGGAACTGGGAAACTGGAAGAGGTCATTTTCTTCTCCAGTCCCTGAACAGAAGCAAAATGTAAGCTGCTGACATTCATCAGTCCACCAATTTTGAAAACAAATCAGAAATAATCATTGTAGCTTCCTTGTTACACATAACAATTTGGTTTTAGAAAGTAATGTGAAATGTTTAAATAATTGTTTTCCTTCTACAGCAAGGATATTCAGACCATTTCACTCCTTGGAGCATGCTAATGCAGAATATTGTTTTCCACATTTTAATACCATCTCCATTTCCAGCCAAGTAGAGATTAGCAAACTCGCAATTAAAATGCCTTCTGACTTATTAAAAATATGCAAAATTACTTGAAAAAAAACCACAAAACCTAAAAGCATATGTTAAAAATGGAAAAGTTAACAAATCCAAATATATGTATGCATATATATGTGTATAGTGTCTGTCCTAAACAGTCAGTCCCCAAATTGCTGCTGCTTCTTAGATTTAACACTACATCTGTCTTCGTGTTTCCGTATTTCCTTCTCATGTCAGCGCACTGGAGAGGAGGGAGGTGGTGGTGGAGCACCTTCCACCGGGGCTGTGCCAGGTGGGCTGCCTGCCCCGAGGCCTGCCGTGCTGCAACAGCAGCAGCCCTGGCCCTGCGCTCCGAGCACGACGGTGGCATGAGGGTGGCTGCAAACACCCGGCTGCCTGATGACAGACTCAGTGTCCTCCGTGCAAGGGAAGAGCAAGAAGGGAAGTGTTCAGTGCATTTAATTACATAGGGGTGGGGGGGGGGGGAGGGAAAAAAAAAAAACAACAAACCCTGACATTTTGAATGCTTATACAACTCCCTCATAACGTTGGGGGATTTTCCAGTTGCTGAAGATGCAAGCACAGACATGAAATCTGCCTTCACTCCCACATATTGCACTGACATTCATGCGTGGTGAGCCAAGTAAGTTCTGCTCTGGGATACTCGCGTTGACACCCTTTCTTTAGCCACATCTCTAAGGCCTGGGCTCACTTGCAACTGCAAAAGGCCAAGAGAATTGAGAGCCAAATTCCACCCTCGCACATGTACAGTAAACCCCCACTGAAAGAGGGGTGTGCTGCAGATGCATACCTGATGGCAGACTTTGGCTGCAGCTCCTTGTGAATGGCAGGAGTACAGCTTGGGTTGCACTAATTCAGCAAAATTTCACTCAATATTTAGTGCATGAGTTTTTAGGAAAAAGCTGTTAAAGCTGAATTAGATACTTGGAGTTGTTTTTCCCAGGATGGGAAATATGCTTAGTAGCTCTATATCATTTTTGATTACCCTAATCTTATATCCAGTATTCCTCTACAAAAGAACTTGACTAACCTATTGTGCCATCCAAAGCTCAGCTATAACAAACAATACAGCAGGGTTCTTCCTGTATCGTATATGCTGAGCATAAAAACTGTACTACAGCTGGAAGGTATTCTTTACACCAAAAATGTTTGGGTTTTTATAATGCCCTGGTTTCTCCAGCTGTAAAGATTAAATAGCTGGCTTTAATTTGACTGTCCAGCATGAAGCACAAACCCACGTTCCCTTTTGTAAGGACTGTGCTCTGCTAGCCCACATTCCCTGAGTAATGCTGTGCTAACATGCAAATCAGACTGTTGTGGTTTGAGCCTACTCAAGCAGCTAAACGCCACACAGTCGCTCACCCACCCTCCCCCCACTTGGGAATGGAGAGGGAATTGGAGGGGCAAAGGGAGATTCACAGGTTGAGATAAAAACAGTTTAATAAAAGTAACAGAATAACACACTGACAGCAGTATCAGCAGGTAATGTACCATACAGCTGCTCACCACCTGCCAACTGACACCCACCTGCTCCCAGCTGGAGATCCCCAACACAAAGGCCCCACAGCCACACTCCCAGAAGTGAGAGCCACTCCAGGCCCACTCCTGCCTTTATATAGTGAGCACAATGTCACGTGACATGTACGCCAAGTTTAATTATTCTTAGTTGAATTTAAATGAATCAAGCTAACTGGCAGAAAAAGTAGTTAATGTCCATGGAAAGGATGGAGGAAATGGTGGTAGAGGATTACGTGCGATTATGATTTTTCAGTACCTATTATATTTAGGTGCCAGCTTAGTCACTGTAAATGTATATAATCAACGAAGACATGTAACAAAAATTACTTAAATGCCTGTACAGAATACTTCATTGTTTTGAAAATAGAAATGGACTGAGTGAAAGACAAATGTCCATGATTATTATTGTTTATAGTAACAATTAGCAGTGAGCTACTAAATCAACAAAAGCTTGGGACAACTCTATTACTGTCACCCTTGGTTACATGCTGCCCACATGCTTATGTTGCTAGCAAATTTAGCCCAGAAGAATGGTCATGCAAACACCATTTAAACAAAAGCACAAAAATTAGAAAACTGTAACAATACACTAGGACCACAAACTTCAGCCTGGTATTTGTGAGATTAAATTAAATTAATTCAATTTCTACTTTAACTGTACATTAAGAGTAGATACTTGCACAACACATTGTCAATTATTATAATGTACAACTACTCTGTTCTTGCCCCAGCTGGCAAAGATCAGACCCACTCTTTGTTATTTCAGAACACTTACTATCAACGTATTCTTGTAACCCTGCGGCTCTGCTACACAGATTAGTGTAACTTTATACATTTTAGATGGATTGTCTACACCATAGACTACTTACCTTGCAAATTAAATCTATAAAGGAACACATAAAAACAAAGCACGAGACAGTAGAGTCAAATCTGTCTCCCAAACTGTTTACCAATTCTTGTGCAAAAGGTTCCCCAAAATCAGCAGTATTTATGTAGTAAAACAAATAATTTAGATATGGCATATTCTCTTCTTAAGACTAAATTTCAACCACAGAAGCAGAAGGAACCAGTCTTTCCCCCCCTCCTTTTCTGTCTGTGTTTCTCCACTAGAAAATAAAATTTTTTGAATGAAGTAATAAAAAGGACAGAAAAAGAAAACTAGACGTAAGTCTTCTCACCTTTGCTTTTCGAAGGACATGGCCTCGACACGGAGAATTATTTGATGAGGGAGGTCGCTTCAGAGCTGCTGCGCTGTTTACAGGTATTGAGCATTCAGTATCACTGGTATCACAACTGGAGATTGGAGAGTTTTCCAGTGTTCGGTGCTTGAAAATTGGAGACTAATGAAGAATGAAAAGCCTACATTAAGTTTCCTCCACGTAGTCACATGGGCAACGTTTCCTATCTAGACTTAGAACTGCAGATTTTTTTTCTAAAGAAACCATATTCATAATAATGATGGATAAATGAACGAGAGGTTAGAACAAAAGAAAACAAAACAAAGTGTGTGTTCTGTGATGAAAATTAAAGTTCGTTTTCTGTGATTAAACAATATTGGGTATCCGGAGGAACTGACACATCTCCCTCTGACCCTTCTGATGCAGCTCCACAGCTGCTCCTGACACAGAGCTATAGCATAAGCCAGGACTGCCATGCTCCGTTGTGAATGTGTGAGGTGCAGCCCTTGCAAAAGGTGACAGTGACTGCTAGGGCACCAGCACAAGTAGGTCTCCATCGCTGCACGATGAGTTGGTGCACTTACTTAAATCTCCCTGAGATGGAGCAATGTCTCAGTTGATGCACTTTTACAATCACTGAGGACAAAGAGGTGTCTCCTTTTCCACATTATCCTAACACATCCTGCCTGTGATTCCCATGTCTACCTCCTCCCTGTTGCTGTAGAAAGTACACCAGGTGTAGGTGAAGAATGCAAATAATGCAGAAAAACATTTAGTTCAGCTCTTATTTCCTGGGCTTTATTAACCTTTCGAAAACTCTCAGTTCCCACTCATTTTACTGGAGCTGAGAAGGCAGAGCACTCCCAGCCCATGGCACTGTGATTTGCATGTTTAATGGCTTTGCATACCTGTGGGCTTGATGTTCCTGACTTGGGCTCAATAGCCAAGCCCAGTGTGATGCCACCTGCCAAGGCTTTCTTAAGGCTCTCCTTCACCTCAGTCAGTTCTAGCTCCAGGTTTACGCGCTCAGCCTCCTTCTGCTTACACTCCTCTTCCAACTTCTTTAACTTGTCTTCAAGAATCACTTGAGTCTTCCTGCCTGTCATCCACAGCAATGTTATTACTTCAATAAAAAAACTTAGAGAAATTATTTTATTTTAAAATAAGTAAGGAACAAGGTCTCTAAAAATTAGTGACATGACAAAAAAAGTTACCTACTTTGCAAAAAACATCTTTTTTCATGTAAAAGGTTTAGCAACAGAAATCAAATGTTTTCTTTTAGGTGCCTTCCCTAGGTTTCTAGTCTAGTTTCAAATCAGTATATATTTTATTATTTTTCCATGTCATGAAAATATAATTAGCCAGTCACAATAAAATTATTCCCATGTTCTGCTTGGGAGACTGATGTTCCCATCACTGTTATTTCACAGCTGTGTAAATATATATACACACATACATGTATAAAATATGTATATGAAATAATAATATACCCCTATACATATATATAATATAATTATATTTATATTACATATTTTATATCTAAATAGAAAGTAAATATAGACATTACAGAGTATTGTTTAACATCAAAACCAAACCTCATGTAGTGGAATGTCTTCAGCACAGAATACAAAGCTATTTGGATAAATAAGCCTACCCGGGGCAGACTTCAGCACAAAAAAAAACCACCTCATACCAGCATTGACTTCAATGGCAGCACGTAGATCTTTTCTTTCTTTTCGGAGCTGGGCCAGCCTATTCCGGAGTGCTTCTTTCCTCTTCAGCAGCTCCTCCTCTTTGCTTTGTAACCTCTTTGCATCTGCCTCCACACGATTCTTGCCATATTTGTACTGCTCTGCATCTGTATGTATTGGATTGTAGTTAATTTACGGTTAAAATTAACAGTAAAACTCTAAGCTATTCCCTGACACTGAACATCACATGAAGCATGTCATGGTTTGAGGAACAGGTTTGCCATCCCTCTTCCACTGGATTTTTCTCAAGGTCCATGATTCCCACTGAGTTCTGCAGCACAGCTATGGAAATGGTATGGGATAGGTAGTTTGTTCTCTACATTTATACAGGGAAGATGAATAATGCCAGTTGCCTTATAGTACATTGGTTTTGAAGAATGGCTTTGCCTTTCTATGTAGTTCAGAGGAAGAAAAGGAGGCTCCTCTTTAGCACTGAACCCTTGATTTTTAATTGGAAGAGGTCAGAGGAAAAACTACCCGTTTGCCTTTTTGCCTGGTTTCTACTCCTACTTCAAGTGCTCAAAGCAAATGTCTTTTCTTACCTGACATGACAGAATACAAAGATGTTCTCACTTTTTTTATACTTGAGAGCTTTCTTTTTCTCTTTTTAGTTTCCCATGTAAATGCTTTCATTTCATGGCTCACATGAGAGGAGCTCTGACTGGCAATGGATGAGGAGCCAACTGAGAGTTTATGGGTCAGGATTAAAGGGAGGGCAGGGACAGGTGACATTACAGTGGGTGTCTGCTTACAGGCCACCTGAACAGGAAGACCAAGCGGATGAAGCCCTCTATAGAGAGACAGGAGCAACCTCACGTTCACAAGGCCTGGTCCTCATGGGGGTCTTCAACCACTCTGCTATCTGTTGGAGGGACAACACAGCAGGGCATAAGCAATTCAGGAGGTTCCTGGAATATGTGGATAATAACTTCCTTCTCCAGGTGATAGAGGAACCAATGAGGAGAGGTGCTATGCTGAACCTTGTTTTCACCAACAAAGAGGGGCTGGTGGGGAATGTGAAGCTTAAGGGCAGCCTTGGCTGCAGTGATCATGAAATGGTGGAGTTCAAGATCCTCAGGGCAGTGAGGAGAGCACAGAGCAAGCTTGCTACCCTGGATACCCTGGATTTCAGGAGAGCAGAGTTTGACCTCTTCAGGGATCTGCTTGGCAGAGTAGCATGGAATAAAGACCTGGAGGGAAGAGGGGCCCAAAAATGCTGGTTAATGTTCAAGGATTACCTCCTCTAAGCTCAGGAGAGATGAATCCCGACAAAGAGCACGTCACGCAAAAACGCCAGGCCTGCATGGATGAACAAGGGGGTCCTGGACAAGCTCAAACACAAAAAGGAAGCCTACAGAGGATAGAAGGAAGGACAGGGAGCCTGGGAGGAATACAGAGAAATTGTCTGAGCAGCCACAGATCAGGTTAAGAAAGCTAAAGCCCCAATAGTATGAAATCTGGCCAGGGATGTCAAGGGCAACAAGAAAAGCTTCTACAGGTACATCAGTGATAAAAGAAAGATTAGGGAAATGTGGGCCCTCTCTGGAAGGAAATGGGAGACCTGGTTACCTGGGACATGGAGAAGGCTGAGGTACTCAATGACTTTTTTGCCTCAGTCTTCACCAGCAAGTGCTCCAGCCACACTGGCCAAAATGCAGAAGGCAAAGGCGGGGACTGGGAGAATGAAGAACCATCCACTGTAGAAGATCAGGTTCAAAACCATCTAAGGAACCTGAAGGTGCACAAGTCCATGGGACCCGATGGGGTGCATCTGTGGGTCCTGGTGGAACTGGAGGATGAAGTGGATAAGCCACTATCCATCATATGTGAGAAGTTGTGGCAGTCTGGTGAAGTTCACACTGTCTGGAAAAGGGGAAACATTATCCCCATTTTTAAAAAGGGAAAAAAAGAAGACCTGGGGAACTACAGACCAATCAGTCTCACCTCTGTGCCTGGGAAGGTCATAGAGCAGATCCTCCTGGGAACTATGTTAAGGCACATAGTAAATAATGATGTGATTGGTGACAGCCAACATGGTTTCACTAATGGCAAATCATGCCTGACAAATTCAGTGGCCTTCTACAACGGGCTTACAGTGTTGGTGGAGAAGGGAAGTGCAACTGATGTCATCTACTTGGACACATGCAAAGCATTTGACACTGTCCCACATGACATCCTTGTCTCTAAACTGGAGAGACATAGATTTGACGGATATGCCACTTGGTGGATAAGGAACTGGCTCAATGGTCACACTCAAAGATTTGTGGTCAACAACTCAGTGTCCAAGTGGAGAGCAGTGACAATTGACATTGCTCAGGGATTGGTATTGGGACTGACGCTGTTTAACATCTTTATTGGCGACATGGACAGTGGGATCGAGTGCACCCTCAGCAAGTTTGCTGATGACACCAAGCTGTGTGGTGCAGTCAATATGCCGGAAGGCAGGGAATCTGTCCAGAGACACCTTGACAGGCTTGAGAAGTGCGCCTGTGCAAACCTCATGAAGTTCAACAAGGCCAAGTGCAAGATCCTGCACATGGATCGAGGCAATCCCATGCACAGATATGGGTTGGGCGATGAGTAGATTGAGATCAGCCCTGCAGAGAAGGACTAGGGGACATTAGCGGATGGAAAACTGACTATGATCCAGAAATGTGCGCTCACAACCCAGAAAGCCAACTGTATCCTGGACTGCATCAAGAGAAGTGTAGCCAGCAGGTCAAGGGAGGGGATTCTCCCCCTTTACTCCACTCTTGTGAGACCCCATCTGCAGTGCTGCGTCCAGTTCTGGGGTCCCCAACATTTCCCCAACAAGGACATGGACCTGTTGGAGCAAGTCCAGAGGAGGACCGCAAAGATGATCAGAGGGTTTGAGCACCTTTCCTATGAAGACTAGCTGAAAATTTGAGGTTGTTTAGCCTTGATAAAATATATCTCTGGAGAGACCATACAGCAGTCTTCCAGTACCTAAAAGGGGCCTACAAGAAAGATGGAGACAGACTTTTTACAAGGACAGGTAGCAATAGGTCAAGGGGTAATGGCTTTAAACTAAAAAGGGGTAGATTTAAGTTAGATACAAGGAAGAAATTCTTTCCTGTGAGGGTGGTGAGACACTGGAACAGGCTGCCCAGAGAAGCTCTGAGTATCCCCTCCCTGGAAGTGTTCAAGGCCAGGTTGGATGGGTATTTGAGCAACCTGGTCTAGTGGAAGGTTCCAATCCAAACCATTCTATGATTCTATGTATCAGTGGTCTAATTAATATCACAGCCCCCTCTATACATCTGCTCCATTTGCAGACTCAGAGAAAATAGGTCAGCTAGCAGATCACTTTGTCTGCCTGACTACCTGAGGGCAAACTCAAGGAGACTAAACCATTCCTGACAAATAGCTGTCAAACCAGTTTTAGTTGGTCTTTCGTAACCAGAATGCCTTTACTCCCACAACTATCTATTCCAGTGCCAACTGACCTGCATGGTTAGAAAGATACATATTTTTCCTAAACTCTAACTCAAATTTCTCTTGTTGTCATTAAATCCATGACTTCTTAAAAATTTATCATGGGATTAAAAAACCACATCATTCCTTCTCTAGAAGAAGCCATAGTTTCAACCCCATATTTAAAAAATACTATTATAGCTCTTTTTTGTCTTGTCTTCTGTACACAAAGCAATCTCTGTTAGGGATTTCCTAGAGGCACTCCACCTGCCCAGAAGAACCCTCGTTCTGAATGTGCCACTCACCATTTGGCATTTCCTCTCTCTGAGGATGCTTTTGATCTGTGTGGTTGTCTTCATTATTTTGTTATACCTTTTTCTTTTTCATTAGTGATAAGTCCACTTTTGAGCAATATAATGTTCTCATGCCTTTCTCAGCTTCTCATCTTCCTCTTCCAACAGGAATACAGAATTGCTCTCTGCTCCAAATGAAGAATCATTACTTTTTTTTTTTTTTTTTCCCTACTGTCCTCATGACTTTGCAGCTACAGTTCCACATTTCATATCTATCATCCTCCATATGACAACCTTTTTTTCCTCATGGCATTGCTGGAGTGCTGAGTCACCAATGCACACAATATCTCCTATTCAAAGTCTTGGTGGACATCTCCTGCTCAGCCTCTCAGCCACATAAGAACCACAATGGTTCTTTATCTTGTTTGCTAAGAAGACAGCTATTTTGGGTATCCTCATGACTCCACTCACAAGTGAGGCAGCAGTGAGGAGAGATACTTACTGGACGCGGTGCGCTTCACACATGACACTGATTCAGATTTCTTTGGCTGGCTATTTAAAGCTCTCCCTTTTCCAGTGATCCCATTAGCAGCTGCAGGAGGCTTCTTGCCTTTGAACTGTTTGAAAAAAAAAAAGTACAAATGGGCTCCATCTATTCCTGTGCCACTGGCATTACAGTCACTCTTTCACCAAGGGCAAAGCTTGACAAAATGCCGCCTGCTTGGAGAGCCTTAATAAAGTGTATTGATTTAGCTGGAGATGGCGCTTCCTCCAGAGATGTCATCTCTGAGAGTTGCCTGCTCAGCAGGAGCCACACCAGAGATCACAGGATAACAAGGGGATGAACTCCCCATCTCTGGTGGCATCATGCTCTCCAAGTTATTTAAAACTCTGGCATTTACTGTATTAAGAAAGCCATTTTCAGTCAGAAAAGTTGTACCTTTGAATAATTTTATACAGTGAAGATTCTTGAAACACAGGTTTGTCAGCATTAATTTCATACAGAAAAACCCAACAGGGTTTGCCACACAAAAATTCAACGCTGTTTCTTATTTACTATATGACCTTGACATCCTTGTGGTGCATGGATTTATTTTTTTTTAAACAATGTTATTATTACACATTTTTAAATGTTAGGTGTTAATATATCAATTACCTCTTATACAACCACTAGCTACCGATTAAAAGTTTTTCTTACTTCAATAAACCTCTCATAATGGCCAGACAAGCTCACAAGATTATCAGAAACAGCACATTTCATGTCTGAGGGGCTTCCATTTAGAGGGCTCCCTTGCAATGAACTGAACCCTGGGAAGAGCAACACTGTCCTAGCTAATCCTATTGTTTCCATTGGGGATTGCCTTCGCCAAGCACAGAGCATGGGTGTGCCAAGCTCCGATCACCTGATCCCAAAAGCTTTCAAGGCCTGAACTGAGAGTGAAACGAAAAGCCTGCTGCTGCAGCCAAGGATCAGGGCAATTTATTGCTCAGGTCCACTCTGATTCTGCAACTTCACTGAATTCTGATTTTCCAATATGAAGTTTTTCTGAGGGTTAAGTGAGTTAACATGCAATATGGCAAGCACCTTATACAAGGAAAACACTTATCTAACTGCTCCATTTCAGATTAGATTGAAAACCATCCATTTTTGCAAAACTTTCACAGGTTTATACCAATGACCAGCTTTCGGAGGCTGGCCACAGGCTCTGGGCAAGGTCCTTGGTGTGGCTGTGAGCAAGGCTTGCTCTCCCCTGCTGCTGGGGTCTGCCTGTCTGCTCCTGAGGCTGAGCACAGAGGATTTCATCTACTCTGTAGCTTCGCATTGCAGCTGAGGTCCAGAAGCCTGAGGACACCCCCAGAAAGAAGCATAGACATAGGCTCATGTTTTTTTAGGGGAAGAAAATAACAGTCAGTAATTTAAATATGGTATATACACACTGTATGCAATATAATTTAGTATATGTGTGTATATATATATATGTTATAATATATATATTCACAATATATATAAACATCGTATACACAATATACATATTAGTAAAATTCTAGAGAGGCAAGTTTGCTGTCACAGACAGGTCATACTTTACTTTTTTAAGTCATCACTGTCTAAGGAGACAGAAGGCAGCTAGATATGCATTCAGGTTAAGTTTGAAAGGTCACATTTATTTTTCTGTTATTATCTGCAATCTGTAAATCATCAAGAACTTGCAGGGAAAGCCTTTCCTAAGTGGCAATACTTCCATATCAGAATTTACAACTTAGCAAACCTGTTTCATTTACAGTGGGCTTATGACTAAACTCCAAGCACTTCAGTGCTAACACTAAGGGACTGAAATAGCCCAAGACCCTTAATATAACAACCAGATAAACAGAACAGCCAAAAATAAAAAGCTCTGTTAAATATTAAATAGTACAGTACCTGCGAGCCAGATCCCCTCCCCACAGCAGAGTTATTAGTGACAGACTGAGCAGAAGACAGATTGGATGAGACAGGGTATTTGTAATGGTTAGAGGAGAGTTTGTCAGTAGATAGCTTATTGGGTTTTCTGTCAGCTGGCGGATAGCGTGCAAAGATTTTTGGAGACGGCAAGTTATCGTACAGGCCTGCGTTATCATAAAGCATTTCTTCTCCAATGTTCCTGCTACGAGAAGAAGGAAAGCCATCTTCTGGTTCCCACTGCAACACATACACTTTGGCAGTTAGTGAATAATACACCATGCAGGACCTCCTAAGTGAAATTAAAACATTAGTAATTCTTTAGACTGTAGCAAGCCCTTGGTGTTTAGCAAGCACAGGCTTACTGCTTACACTTGAGTCAAACTATTTAGAAAGCAGGGGAGAATACAGTGTGGAAAGGAAGCATTGCATTACATGGCTCATAGCCTCAGTCCTGTGCATGTTCCATAGGTAGAGCAAACCGGTACTACCCTATCACCCTTGCTGTTTCATAGACTCCACCTTCAGTTATTAGCTCTAGCACTGGGGGGCACAAGCAGACTGTGTTCACAGGGGAATACTCACAGGCTACACAGGTGAATCTGTGGGATTACATATGGTATATGAGTTGTTAAAATTAATATGGCCTAGCAGTTAGCAGAAGCCAAGAGGTTTTTTTGTTTTGTTTTGTTTTGTTTTTTCTTTCTTTCTTCAGGCTATATGTCTTTCCAGTGAATATCAGCTGCTAGTATGCTAGCATTACATTTTATTTGCTGGAGAATTATTATTCTGAGCTAACCAGCTAAAATAGCTATAGGCCATTCCTTCTTTTTTTCCTTTTCAGAAAAATGGAAAGCTCAACAACAACACTCAGGTGATTCATTCAATTCATCTTAAAAGAAACCAACCTGGTTGCCAAATATCTTTCCTTAATCCGTCCTGGCTGTGGCAGTACACTACTCATACAAAGGCATGAATGCATCCAAGAACTATATATACAGACTACTCACCACACATGTGGTCAAGTGCTGTTCCCAAGAGTGTCTTTCTACCATCTTTCTGACATTACTAAGACATGATGGAGGACTGAACTTGCAGTCCACACTTCAAAACTCTGAATTTCTCTTGAGTTCAGCCTTAATGGGGGCCTTTATGAAGCAGCCCAAATTAAGAGCTGACACGGGCTGTAGCTCCCCTGTAAATCTTCCTGAGGACCACATATTGCTATGGGTTAACATCCACAATGTGTTAAACTCTATTACACATCTGCCTACAATCAGGTCTGCAATTTATGAAGATGGAAGTGAGCACTGTGGTTGTCTTTCGGGATGAACAGTACCTGCTGTCATGAGGAATACAACGCTAGGGACTGAGAAGTGTTTGGTTTCTGTTATTCTTTCAGCAGACACCAAAAAGTACCTGGTGTAATTGAGTCCTTAATTTTGCCAGGTCTGGTGTGATCTAAAAAATATCCCCTCAAGAGAGTATTATATTCAAGGACTTGGCAACAAATTGTCAACAGGCAACTGGTTTCTAAATGCACATTGGCTTACATGCAGGTTAATGTAAACAGTATGTCCTACACCCCTAATACTCTGTAGGTGTGAGAGAAGTTTTCAGCCTCCAATCAAAAAAATAGGAGTTCATTTAGAAACTTCTTAGTGGGACTTTTTAGATAATATAATTTTCAGATGTCCACGCATTCAACACATGCAAACCATTTGTTCTGTGCAAATTCAATTCTTACCGATCCATTTATGCAGGGAACATCATCGTAATGAAGTGCCATTCCACTCGGACAGGCGTAGCCATTGGCAGTGCTTCCCCGATACGGATTTGTGGAAATAACTCGCCTGTTCATGAAACTAAATAAAGCAAAATAAAAATAATAAAAACCAGTGTTTGAATCTAAGTCTAAATGATGATTCAGTGGTATGTTCCTTGTATCTGATTATGTAGTCTGGAAGCAGATATCTTCTAATTTTCTGCAGGACAGTTTTCTTTCTTTTGCTACTCACATGTTGCTGCTAGCAGCCAATATTACACCATATGTTCCTGTACTCCATTCTTACAGTGGGGATATGACTGTGTGAAAGCCAGGAGGGCAACAGCTGTAACTGCTCAGTGGCATGTTTACATGGGAACCTGCTGATCTATGCTATAAACCAGCTTGCCAGTGTCCCATAAAGGTTCCCTTGTTGTCTGCATCAGGGAGAAGCAGGTGTTTCTGGGTGCACGTATGCTCAGGGGGGATGCAAACTTAGGAATTGGGAGCAACAAGGATCAAATCCAGCAAAAATATCAAAAAAAAATTGGAATTTCGATGAAATCTAAGTTAACATATCTATCAAAACTTGCTGAATAATGACTTCCTCAAAATCTGGGAATTTTTCTTTTCCATATCCGAACTTTTGGCTGGGTAGAGTGTGCATAATGGCACTATGCTTCCCAGCTCTGGGTAACTGCATGCAAGTATTCCATATGCTCATTCTTGCTCTGTTTCGCACGCTGGATCTGAGTGCCCTGGAAACTTCAGAAGGGAACTCTCTCTCTCTCTCTCTCTCTCTCTCTATATATATATATATATATATATATATATATGTATATTTATATATGTGTGTGCCTTTATTCCCTACCCCCAATCAACAAATCAACATTGTAGCTTGTTTTACTGGAATTCTGCAGAATGTGCAAGATATCATGGACTACAATGGTTTTGCAAAGATCTAATAACACATAAAATGTCAGAATTATGACCAATAGCAATAACAACCCCAAGGGTGAATTTTCCTTTGTAGCAACCACTGAAATTGAATGAGGTATAGAGTGAGATCCCAAATAATTCCTATAGCTTCAGGTATACATGAATGGGAAAACAAAGCTCTCCATCCCAAACAATGGAACTATTCAGACTCTGTGCTGACATTCATAAAATATGATAAAACCCTACTAAAGCAGAGAGGGTCTTCTGTAGCACTGGCTGGAGCTCAAGAATGCTGTGGTTTCAACAGTTGCTTTCTTTTGGCTTTGGAATAACACAGAGTCCATTGAATTTCTCTTTCAGGAGACAGACCTCATCCAACTGTGGCTCACCTGAGCCATAAGAGACCCAGGCTCAAAGGAGGGATGAACCTGCCCAGTTGGGTGTGAACCTTTCAGGGCAGTGCAGGGGTGGAATAATCATCAGACAGAAGCTTTTCGTACTTCAAACAGCAAAAAGCCCAAGATAAATTCCATGATAAAGATGTTTTTAACTTTATCATATCTCATACATTATTAGACATTATTAAAGGGCTGCATTTGTTTACTGTTTCTCTTAATGAAGAGCATTACTCAAGTGTTTCTGGTTCTTCTGAAGGACTGCATTTGGAGTCATTACTGTCTGTCTCTTTAAGTAGCTTCAATGAGTGATGCATAATAACCATGTCTGAAAATTGGGATATTCATTAATGACATCTGATGCACCTGTAGTAACTATTTCCACCACAAAAGGAAGCTAAGATTTATCTAAGTATCTGCAAACACTTCATAAGCATTAGTTCACTAAGCCTCATTAATCCTGCTTACAGATGTATCCATGTAAGTTAATTGTATTCTCAAACTGCTAGATGGGAAAGGAAATGGAGAAAGCCTGCTTGGAAGCATTTTTCCTTCAGCCTTTCCAAGTTACCTAGTGATCTAGAAGAAAATTGATGGGACTATTAATGAAGGTGCCAATCATTTTGTAATGCATCAGTCTCAGGAAACAAATAACCAATAATCCTAAAGTGACTGTGCAATAATCAAAGCTGGTAATGATAACTGCAGTTACTTTGGAATATTGATATTCATTCTATAAAGGGCACCAATAGTATTTTACTAACACTTAAGTATCATTGTAATTTCTCCTCATTTTCTGGGAGTAGTTGAAAATCAGAAGACAGCTATTCTAGTTGCTTATCAACAAACTCTTATAGTCTTTTTAAAGACACACAATGAATTTTAACTAATTCTTAATAGGGGAATTCTGCTATTTTGCAAGTTGCTTGACATTCCTTTCTAACACGTGGTCTAGTTGCATGTGTTTTTTCACTTGGCTCCAATTAATATCAGATTCATTCAGAAAAGGAAAGCCATGCAGTATTCAGGAGAAAAAGGTTTCCATTCTATTTCTTTCTTAAATGTGGTTATTGCTAGATGCTGACTGAAGCAAAAATACATGTCAACACAGGATAAACCTTTTGAGCTCTATTAACTTCAGAACAAATATTAACATAAATCTGTAAGCTAAGTGCATTTTGATTCTATCAAAATTACCTGCTTTTCAGAAAACTGGGCTTGTGGTAACACTGAGTCACTTTGAATTCTATTAAAAGTCATTGGAAACAGATCCTGAAGGAATCTGTGCATTTTCACTCATTAAAGCTCTCTTAACACCTTGCTAACGGCAGGAGAATCTTCTTTTGGAAAACTCTGAAGCTTTTGCCTTTTTTTTTTTTTTTTTTTCCAGTCTGTTTAAAGTTAAGATGGGCAGATGAGGTATGATTCTCTAGTGTATTAAGTCACACAAATTCCAAATTTGTGTGGGGAGTCTCATTTTGCAACGAGATGAGGGATGATGCCTTTGCCAGCTGTCTTCTCAGGCCACCTGCTTTCTGACCATGGGAAACCACAGGTAGGTCTGAAGCAGGGCAATCCGCCTGTCCCAACTGTTCCTTCACTCCCATTTCTAAACAACCTCATCTAGCCAAGGAAAAATTACAGTCTTTTAAAGCAACCAAAGACTGCTTTAATGCCTAAACTGATTTGAACACGTAAATCACTATATATGCTAAGTATGCATTATTTTCTTATCACAGGATCACCAATGGGGAGCTCACTGTACTGATTTGCCTGAGGCATCTTCATAATTTCCACTCCTTAAATTAAAACCCAGAAATTAATTGGACTGGTGAGTTACTAATTAATCATAAAGAACTTGAGAAGGAAACACTGAGAATGTGACTACTGAAGATTTAAATTTGCTATACATTTTTAGTGCTATACATATAGCTACATATTAGCTAGATGTACAGCAGAGCCAATAGATAAATGTGAACTATGCAGCTGCATATTTCGGTATATTTATCCTCTGCCAGGGATAGTTCTAAGTCTGCAGGCAAAATAAGAGATTACAATATAGTATGTGATAAGGAAACACACTGAAAGAATGAATAAAGATTTGAGTAAAGTTGGATAGTGTCTGTATCTTTTACAGAACTTAGCAGAATGCCAACATGATAATCATAAACACATCTAACATGCTGTGATGCTGAAACACTTCAGGAGTTCAATATCTGGCAAAGGCAGAGGTGGATTTTGATAAGCTGTCTTGGCACCAGAGTTAACATACAGATATAAATTCTCAGAGTACTGGAAACACCCGGGTAGCTGAACGCCTCTCACCAGAAGGTCTGTTTTGCAGCCTGGATGACACTTGCTGTCATTTCCACGTCGATGTAGTCATAATGCAGAGCTCCAGGGTCTGTCGAAGACCCTGTTTCTGCCAGCAAAATTCCTATCCATCTGCCCATGTCTTCAGAGGAGGATGCCTGCGAGGAGAGGGCAGGAACATAGGTCAGGTCTTTGCACTGAGCTGAGCATTATTGCAAAACGGCGCATTCTTCCTGGCTGACAAATTGCTACCACATTGTATGAGCGGCTCTGTATTTTCTCTGCTGAGCTCCTAAAAACCCCAGGATTTCTGATTAAATCTGCTTTTCTAGAAGGAGTGCACTTTAAGTAAGCTATGGGCTCATCAGTTATGATGTAATAATACAAAATGGGCAATCTCCAAAAAAGAAGAAAAAATAATCATTTAAGGCTAGAGGATTTAGATTTAGGTCATGCTTATTTTAGACCTCAGAAAACTGAAAGCTATAACAGAATCATTATCCTATGCTACCCTGGTGGATTTTAGTTAGTGCGACTCCTGAGAAGAAGATGTTAGTGATAAGTAGAAACGAGGGGGGATGGACAAAATAATAGAAGAGATTTTAATGTTTTTTGAAAAACTCCACTAAATTTGTCTAGAGGATGGCATTCATTTTCCTAATGGCACAAGTACAAACATGAATACTGCTAAAATAACTTTTAATTTTTTGTATTTTGCTTCAAGTCACCAACTGTGAATTTAAACAGTAGAAAAATAAACAATGGAACAAAGCAGGGGAAAAGGAAACTGTGCAGCTTCCAAACTGCTTGTTCTTTTTAAATACTTCATTGCCTTTCACAGTTCCTTGAGCTGCTTTCTAGTTTCTCAGCTTCTTTGAACCACTCACATGTAATAGGCCAGGTTGAGAGGATGGGAGACTGATGTGACCTGCAGTTGGAAACCTAAAGTGTTCAAAGTGTCCGTCCTGCCACTGAAAGCAAAAGGTTGCCTTCTCTTATATCTTCACTATACTTGTCTTTCAGTGTCTTCTCATTTCAGCTTTCAAAATATGATGAATAAAGCCCTTCAAAAAATTCTGACTCATCTAACAGGTGAAAGTATGATCTTCATAGTGTGAGGAGCATGCCAGTGTATACACAAGCGGTGTGTCAAGAGACTCACCAGGTTGGTGGTACACTGAACTTTCTTACTGCAAAATTACCTTAACACAGATCCAGACTGAGCAAAAGGAGTTCACATAAGTAGCAGACAAATGAGACTTAAGAACTCTAGAGTTCCCACCAACAGTGATCTGTTATTTAAATATTGATCAGTTATTTACCCAAAGTAATTATACCTCTGATGTAAAAGTGTGCCTAGAGAAAGAGCAGGGATGTTTTAGTAGCAGGTCAAGGGAAGGTCGGTGTAGAGAAAAGCATTCAGAAAAGCAGAGATTTCTGAACTTCATTAAACCTCAGTTCTCTCTTTGCCTACAACTCTTAATATTTCTTTTCTCTTTCCAGTATTTATTATCCAGCTTTGCAATAATATTATTCCAAAGATTCTTTCTTTTAATGGCCAGGTTGTATGAAAGTTCTTCTCTAATTTAGTGTGTGTGTGTGGGTGTTCCTAAAAGTCAGAACCATTAGCAATCACCGCACCTCGAGCACAGCGACCTCCTGCCCGTTTCGGAGCAGGCGGAAGGTCAGGGGATGCTTCGAATCCAGCCCCAGGATGACTTCGCAGCCACGGAGAGGGATAGAAACAATGTGTGTCTTCAGATCTGTCCGGTCCTTGTGGAAAATTAGTTTATTATCTTTCACTCTGCACCAGCGCTCACGCCAACGGTTATTTGAGAGCACGTTGAGATATCCTGCAATAAAATGAAACGTGAGATATTTTACTCCTGACTTTTTTTGAAAAGAAAAAAGAAAAAGCTTACTTTGCAATGTAATGCTAGCACTTAAACAACTTATTCCTCTTATAATAGAAAGTCCAGATGGATTTTAGGAAGTAAATGACCCTGCCCCACTTCTTTTAATTAAAATTTTCACTGTGCCAGTAACCTAGAAAACAGCATGCTCCTGCTCATGTGCAAATGGCTGTTCTGTGTGAGTCACTGCAGCAGCTGGATGAGCAGGAACACACCAATCCATAAGACTTTACTAAGAATGGGAGAGGAACAGTGATAAAAAGGTACATACACAGCTGATGCGCTCTCACAAAAGACCCACTTTCTCCCATGGGCATTGACTTTGATAACTGTGGCTGACCAAAATTTTCTAGGAAAATCACAGCTCATATTATATAATTAGGTGATGCACTACCTTCTGTAACATCCAAAATCAGTGTTTAAAAGACCTACTAAGTGCTGACGTGTTCTAATTTAATTTATAAACAATAATATGTATGGTTTGCAACACTGTTAAAGCAGAATTTAAAAGATTGCTACCAATACCAATAAAAATCATATTGGTTTAAAATTCAAGTAGTAGATGTATATGAAATTTAGCTAAACTCTAAAACAAAAGTTTAAACAAAGATTTTTTTTTTTTTTTTTTCCCAGGGATAATAGAGTGCCCTTAAAACAAATCAAAATTTCATTAACAAATTGCCTTTTAAAAAACCCTACATTTCTTATCATGCTCTATATTGGATACAGTATCTAGGCAGATAATAACATTAAATGGGGAGTGTTTTGTGTTTTTTCATTTTCTGTCCCATAGCAACAATCATTCCAGGCTCAAACCTTAAAATCAAGATAATGTCCAATTTTTCTGCCTTACTTATTTTGAGAATGAAGAAAAAAAAAATCTTTTGCTTTTGCTTCCACATTATGAACAGTACATGAAGTCAGTATGTTGCTGCTTCCAAACAGGCTGAGTAGGGAAACAAATGATATCTTGCACAGGCCAGAATTTATGTAAAAAAATTGTCTTCTATCTCAGGTCTGATTTTCATTTAATCCTGTTGGATAGCTATCTCTTTGGTTTGCATTAAAACTATGACTTATCATTAATTTTTCTGGGTTTTCCTTCCAACAGTGTGGTTCCAATGTCAAACCTTGATCCGATAGGATATAGCAGATCAGAATTGCGCACATCTTGGAAGGTGTCATAAAAAGAGGAGGATATGCACTATCCTTTGATTTTGGCTCCTTGTGATGATCACACTCTTCAGCTCTTCTCCTTCCTTTCATAACAAAACTGTGTATAGCTGTGCATTATACTATAATCCCTAGAAATGGAAAACCCTTCATGTGCAAGCCAGCTGGCTTGTTTTGGAGTGAGAGTCTTTTTCAGACAGTACTTGTTTTTCCACTCTGCTCATAATGCATCTCCAGAAAAGCTCTTCCAAACCCTCCTACTTCAGTTGAACTAAGCAGGAATCCATGCTTTTCCTCCCACATAGCCCTACTTAAATCTTCAACAGTTGACATGACCAAAATGACTTGAGTGTGTCCCAGTTGGGGCATAAGCACTTCAGCTTAGCCCAGGCAGTCAAAACCCAGTGATGCTGTAGGGAAGAGCTTTGCCATGACTTCAAGTGCAGGTGGGTTTTTGTTTCCACTCTAGCTGGTTGTCCCCTGTAGGCCTGTTGGGCTTTTCCCTTTGTTCATGGGAGGTAGAGCCTTCGAAAGTGAAAAAGCCTTCAACTATGGAGCAGCCTCCCAGAGGGCATTGAACTGAGCCAAATTCCTGGTGGTGAGAAACTCCTTCTGCAAAGACTTTCTGCAATGACCAAAGCCTAGACACTTAAATATTTTCCTATAAAATCTGCAAGTGGTGTTGAGTAGAGCCAAATGCAGGCAATAGTAATGGCTGTATTTATGTTCATATCTGAAATAATGATAGAAATACTATGAATTAGACTGTACAGCTGTGGTTAATGTCTCACTTAATACAGACTAATCAATGGAGTATGAGACCCCGGAAGTTTGAGCTTTTATGGAAGCCAGATGTTTCGGACAATGCATCTGGCTGGATACAGCTTTTCCCAGCTGTTCTTTTGGTTGATAAATTACATCTGTACTTAGCTGATATATAGATATAGATATACACACACACATACACTTATTTAATAAAAGATTGCTTGTGTGAATGATTCCCAAAGTGTGGCTTGAGAGCCACCTGTGATCTATGAAGTTCTCGCTGGTGGTCCATGGGTCTGGTCATTCACACTGGGCAAGCATCTATTACACTTCATGCACTGATAAGTTCTGCCAACTGCTGCCTAATCATAGATTTCTGGGTTTCACAAAATCTTCCTAGTCAATAACAGAGGAAAAGGCAAATTGATATTCAGAATCAGGTACAACTGCTTCACGGCTTGCTTTCTATAGACATTTTTTTTGGAAGGAATTGGGAAAAGGGTGGGTTCAACCTTATTCATGTATGGAAGTGTTACTTAATACTGGAGCACCAAAAGGCAAACAGGAGAAAATAAATACATTGCTTTGTTTGAAAATACCAGAGCTGTGAGGACATCAGCTAAGTGCATTGCATACAGTCCTAAATTGTGAGCAAATTTCAACAGTTAAGATACAAAACTTAAGCATTTTCTGCATGCCCTTTTATATATTTTCTTGATGCTGCCATGCAGTACAGCTTTCATATGGAGTGATCAATGTTAGGAGTTAAAACAGCTTATTAGAAAATTATTACTTCATTCAAGCCTTTCCCAATATGTACCAATTTAGAACCCAAAATTAAATCACTTTGGCTGAAGCCAGTCGACTGTTGTCTTGATTGCTATCCCATAAAACCTCACCACAATCCACCATAAAAGACTTTATCTCTTCCCAAGAACCTTCTTGTAATTCCTAACCTAAATTAATTTAATAGTCAACCCTATATCCATTTTACATCCATTTGTTTGGAAAAAGATCTTGTTCTCTCTGATTTTTGTTCACACTTCTCCTCCCCCTCACCTTTGCAAACAGCAATGATATTAATTCTGAGCCTATGCCACCATTTTATTTAAAAAGTCAAGTTCTTTTAGTCTCTTTTCAAAAGATAAACTCTTGATTGCTCTACTCCTCTTTCAGTCTGAGTGCATCCTTCTGATGTTGGGGGAAGAATTATAGCAGTAAAAGCAATTTTAGAGGAATTTCTAGGCTAGAATTTTATCAAGTTTTAGTTACAATGTGCATTTAAGACTCAAGGAGAAAAATCATTTACCACAAGTTGGAACATCTTCTTCAGCTGATGAGGTCTGTTCATCTGTTGACGGCTTTTTCTTTCCTAAACCAATGATCTTCGTTATTTTTTTCCCTGTTACTTTAGTCACAGTGCCCTTGGCTTCTGATTTTGAACTTTTTTTCCTCTTCACTATTAAGAAAGTAAAAGTGTGCATTTTAGTGTGTTAGAATTAACCAATAATAAGAAGAGAACCTGAGTAAAATAGGAGTTCAGACAAACCTGTGCAAAGTGAACATTTGTACAAAAGTTGCAGACTGCAATGAGTTAAACTTTACATGCCCTCTCTAATGCAGATGCCTATAAATAACCTTTGTACCACAAAAATCATGGCATTCAGAAGGATAAGGAAAACAACAATCAAGCCTCTAATTTAATTTGATCTAAGCAAGCTGCAAGCCTCTTTCCACAGCAGCCATCATCTAATTTATCAGAATGACTGAGGTACTTGCATAAAAATTTAGCTTATATGCACAAGATTAAAAATCCGGCCAGACAATCCTTTATTGTTCCTAAACATTTACCTCAAAATACTCCAACAGTTGAGTACATAACAAAGACAGAATATGCTTGCCTAGCAAAAATACTCCTGCCATGTACAATCAGATTAAGGTATGCTATCAGAATGGACCTTTTAGAAAGACAAGACTTAAAATTTAAATATTAACAATTAAATTAGTGGGATCAGTATAAGTATTCAACGGTTAGAAGTTGGCACTTTCTGTGACCATGAAGGTTTGAAAAGAAAAAGTGTTGCTGAAAGAGGTGTTTTGCTAACATCCTGTCTTTGTTGCCATTAACTTAATACAATACTAGTAATATTATGGCTCTGTTCACTGAGGCATGTTGAGTTGCTGAATGTAACATGGCAAGAGCTATGGATAAAATTTTAAAAGTGCTTACCTGACTAAAATCCTAACAAATTAAAAAATATAGTTTCTAAGATTAAACAGAATTAGAAAAAAAGACCTTCTATTTGCAAAACAGAACAAACAAAGTAAACTTTCAGAAATTGCATTCACTGGCCTAATTTGGATTCCATCAGCAGAGTAAAAGTCTCTGCTAACTGACAGGGCAGAAAAAATATCCATCAACTTGCCCTGATACATGACTCTGATGAAAAATACATTTACGATAGTTACTGATTGAGCTGTTGTAACTTTATCCCTGGCATATCAATTCCCTTAAGAACAGGTAACATTTAGTGGTTATGGACCTATGTAAACTGAGGAAAAAAGGGACAAAATGAGAAATGACTATATATGAATTGATGAACTGAGAAGAAGAATGCATGGAAAATGGAGAAGCAGTTTGGGACTTACAATGGGATAATTTATCATATTTAGTTTAATTGTTAGGACTCATGGAACGTTATTTAGAAACGCTATCTGTAGCCAAGACTGTACAAAGCTGTCACCTGCTGTGTGCGGTGCTGAGGGGTTATGGCAGCTTTTCAGGCATGGGTAGGTGTTTACCAGCAAACTCCAATACAGCAAGGCGTGTCTGCAAGCAGAGGTCTAACTCTCTCCCTAAGGGAAGGGTGTTCACAACTTATATTGTGCCCTCTAAACAAGCAATGAGCTCCCACGTTCAAGGCAGGAAGGCCACCTGTCCCATCTGCTCCTGTCACCCCCGCCTGTGGGACACCCCGAAGGCAGCATCTGCCCGCACACAGGTTTCTGTCCCATGCTGCGGCAGCCAATGACCAACCGTGGCTGTTGAGTGGGCAGGAGATGCAAAACATTGAAAAAAGCCAGAGACTGAGAAAATCTCCCCCAGACAAAATCCCGAAGGAATCATTCTCACCAGCATGAACAGACAGTGGAATAAGCCCATTGCAGTGATTTTTTGTTTTTTTGTTTTTCTGTCCTATCTTCCCTTCACACTGCTGTTTTATCCTCTTGCAGAACTGAGAGGCAACAGAAATAAGGCCTTCATGACTTAATCTTTTCAAATCTAAAGAATATACTGATTGCCTAACTGCCAGTAATTTTTTTCACAAAAGCTTTTTCTTTTCTTTTCCTTCCTCACAGCAAAATGAGCAGCTGGTTAAGAGCAGAGCAGAGGCTGGCTGGCGGGTGACGGCTGGTGATGACCACACTCCAGAGGCCCCTTCCCACATACTCCCTCAAGCGTTTCCTACCCGTTGTTTAAAAAATAGTGTAACTTCATCCAGAACCCCTTAAGATTATGCCAGGGATATTTTAACCACCATGCAGTCATTAATGCCTATTATTTTTATTACTACAAATTGAAGGTCAAAATTTTCAAAAACAAGTGGTATTTTTAATTACCCTCCTTGAGACATCTAAGCTGGGCTGGTTTTCCAGCAGCATACATGCCATCAGCATGCCTCCCGTGGGGCACCTGAGTCACCAGGCACTTTTGGACATCACGGACAACACAGCTTTTGTTGTTTCTCAGCAGGTTTCAGAGACTAAAACACTAGCACGTTTTTTGAAAGTTTAGTAGAAGATTTTATAGGGTGAAATCTAACCACGTACCACAACTTCTGGAAACCACAAAACCTGATTTTGTTCCATACTGTGGAGTATGTCAGAAAGCTGTATAGTCAGGAAGTGTTGGAAAATGATCCAAAGAGAAGATAAAGGAAATGAGTCAAAAGGCGAGACAGCGCTGGCACCGAGGCCAGTATTGACATTGTGCTCACTGCAGCTCACATTACCCTTCATCTTGACAGCTGCAGAAAAATGTCTTATCTAAACGATACCATTGCTATATGGCAACTTAACGAAGTCACAGAATTTCTCCCACTTTGGGAAGGGGGGAAAGGGATGGGGAAGAGAGCATAGGGATTGATTGTTTTAGATATATCTCAGACAAAATTCCCTCTGGGTTTGGGATTTGCCTTTGTTAGATTATTAGGACTACAAAATATGCATGACTCCAAAGTAGCATATGTAAAATTATATACATATATACTCACAACCCCCTGATATTGCATTATTGTATACATTTTAATATGTTAATATAAATAATCATACATAACAGTTTATACACATAAGTATCTGTGTATACATACAGATATATAAACTGTGTATATATCTGTATGTATACATATATATAAACACACACATATATATATATAAAATATGCATGATTCTTTCCTTCTAGTATTCAATGACAGCTTTTTTGCTTAGAAGCTATACACCCACTATTTATGTTACCATTATACACGTACAGTTACTAAAAAGAACTGTTAGTTGCTTATAGTGGTTGCCCAAGCTCTGAAAATCTGCACTGTTGAAGGGACAAAAGGCCAAGTCAAAAATTCTATATTCTGTTTCCTTATACTAGTTATATAGATTTTTCCTGCACAATAACATCAAATGCCTTCTCTAACTGCAAAATTTGAAGGATTCACTCTTGACAAAATTCAGCCTTCAAGTTAAATTGAATCCTAATAAAAATATTCGAAAACTTTACTGCCAATTTTTAAAAGACAAAAGCCAGGTATTTCACTACCTATCACCCCTTATGTGCACATATTATTTGCAGCAAGCATCTCTGGATCTGAGACATACCTTGTTCTTTCCCATTGCACACGGTAGTGATGCCATTTTCCACAGCACCCTCCCCATCTGAGCTTGGCCTCTCAAAAGACAGCTTCTGCAGAGGCAAAAAGATTAGCTGACACACAGTGCTGGCACCTTTGCCAAATGAAGTGTCATGAGTCAATTTAAAAGCATGCTTACTATGAAGTAAAACACATTTCAAGCTCTCATCCACTTGGAAAATAAACAGAAGAAAGTAACAAAATCAGTTTTAAAGGCTTTAGAAAAGCACAGAAACCACAAAATAGGTCTATATTTGAAAGTGTAGTCAAAATGGTGAAGCAATCACAATTCAGTATCTTATACACAATATATTTTTAATGAATTACTAGACTCTAAATGTTTCTGTTTATTAATCTGCTAAGAAATGAACAATTACATGGACCAGGTAAGAATAATTTTTAAATTATTTATTTAAATAAAGCTTCATATATGCATTTACAATTGCAACTTATCAGAAAATACTGCATTTCTACAAGGTGCTTCAATACTTTGAATATGTACAAAAAAAGAGGCTTTTGATAAAATTTTTAGCACTGATTTTTCTGTAATTGTTGTGTATGAGATATGGGATGAAGCAGTACAGAGCTTATGTCAGCACAGTTTTGGTAATATTAGTCATGAGTGTTGAAGCCACGACGAAGATGTACAGATTATCACAGAAACAGATGAGACACAAATGCTACACTTTTTTATGGCATGCATTTTAGAAAACAACTATTTTATGACATTTTTAGTTACTTTGTTAATACTGTGTAGGTATGTGCAAGCATGCAAACACAAGCATGCAAGCTTTTGCCTTGTGAAATCAGGAGATCTGAGCTCTCATGGAACATGCTTTGCTCTTGGTTTCCCAGATCCAAAGCAACATAACACTAACGACAGCAGCATCCTTCCGCCACAGGGGCAGAACTTGCCGTCAGGAAATTGGTGACAAAACCTTTGCAGTGGGACATTTAAGCAGAGCTGGCAAAGGGTAGGCTCACATGGATGCCTTAACAGAGTAGGGGCTTAAATTGGTGCTGGCAATGTACTGATCATTCACTGCAGAGCTGCTCTCTTTCCTAATTCTCACTCTCATATCCTGCTGAGTCAAGGCAGCAGAGACAACCATATGTGAATAGCCAAGTTTCTGTATTGAGGCACGAATGCTTGAAAAGGTCTGCCAAAACAGTGACTTCAGCAAGCCCAGGGAGCTCTTCAAGAACTAAATTCCCCAAAATAAAGATTTTCCCTTAAAACTTTTCTACAATCTTCAGCTATTCACATCCCTGCTTGCTCTTCACACTTGACAGAGAGCCACTCTTCATCGCAGCACATGGATCAGCTCTACTTTGTCTTCATCCTTCAAAATGGCTAAAGAGAAGCTGCTAATAGATACAAGCCAGTCTGATGGTTGCTTGTGAACAAATGAATAGACATGGCAGAAGTCTTAACTCTGTCGTATGTGTGCACATATCCAAACAAACAAAAACAACATGGAGACTAATAGTCTAAAACAGTAGCAACAGTCAGCAAGTATTTACAACCAGTGTCTAGTGGTGCCTCTCTATTAAGTAATCATAAGGAATTTTGCATTCATAATTTCCATAAATTTACCTTTTCCAGCTCTGCCTTGTGTACTGGAGAACTAGACAATGGCCCATCGGAATCTACAGCTCCTGTACAGTTGCTGCACACATCTTTGATAACCTTAGGAGACAAGACAAAAATTGCTGAAAATTCATAAAATACAAATCAGAGAAATTGTATAAGAATGGGAGGGAAGATGGGAAGGAGAATCACGCAAAAATTTCTTAGGCTGGCAAGTGTCAGGCAGGCTGCCACTACACCAACTTCTCCACACTGCGTCCCTAAGTCATTTCACGTACAAACTGGAGACATAATGTCTAGAGGTGGAAGGTTTCAGTTTCCAGACAAGGAAAGCTCCAAGACTCTCCTGAGTAAATAAACCAACAGTGCTGCTGATTTTCATGTGCTAGTTTTGCAATATGAACTCAGCTGACACCATCAAATTAATTTCATTACAGTGATGAAAAAATGGGATCAAATCCAAGGTCCCACAAGTCAAAGGACGAGAGTTTTGCATAAGACACTACCCAGCTGCTGCTTTTTTTTGCTATTGGAGAACTAACTAAGTGCTAATCAATTTACAGTTAATACTGCACAGGGGTATTTAATGGCATTTTTGTATTATGCTTGCACATTTACAAAGTAAATGTAAATGCACTTGAAGGAAATGGGAATGGCATTATCTACTTTTAAAAAGTTGAAGAAAAATCCAGAACCTGGAATTCACTGAGATTTTGATAAAATTTGAAGAACATGTCTCTAAATTGGAGAGACATGGATTTGATGGATGGACCAATGGGTGGATAAGGAATTGGCTGGATGGTTGCACTCGAACAGTTACGGTCAACGGCTCGATGTCCAAGTGGAGACCAGTGATGAGTGGCATTCCTTAGGGGTCAGTATTGGGACCAATGATGTTTAACATCTTTGTTGGTGACACAGACAGTGGAATTGAGTGCACCTTCGGCAAGTTTGCTGATGACACCAAGCTGTATGGTGCAGTTGATATGCTGGAGGGAAGGGATGTCATACCGAGGGACCTTGACAGTCTTGAGATGTGGGCCCCTGCAAAGCTCATGAAGTTCAACAAGGCCAAGTGCAAGATCCTGCATATGGGTTGGGGAAATCCCAAGCACAAATACAGGCTGGGTGAGGAGTGGATTGAGAGCAGCCCTGCAGAGAAGGACTTGGGGTTGTTGGGTGACAAGAAGCTCAAAATGATCCAGCCATGTTCACCTGCAGCCCAGAAATCCAACCAGCAGGTTAAAGGAGGTGACTCTCCCTCTCTACTCCACTCTCCTAAAAACCCACCTGGAGTACTGTGTTCAGGTCTGGATCCCCAAGCATAAGAAAGTCATGGACCTGCTTGAGTGGGTCCAGAGGAGGCCACGAGGATGATCAGGAGGCTGGAGCACCTCCCCTGTGAGGTCAGGCTGAGAGAGTTGAGATTGTTCAGCCTAGAGAAGAGAAGGCTTTGGGGAGACCTTATAGCAACCTTCCAGTACTTAAAGGGGGCCTAATTACTTATTAGCAATTAACTTAAAGGGGAAAGATTGGGGGGGGCACTCTTGATCAGAGTGTGTAGTGATAGGACAAGGGGTAACAGTTTTAAACTGAAAGAGGGTAGCTTTAGATTAGATATAAGGAAGAAATTCTTTACTGTGAGGATGGTGAGGCACTGGCACAGATTTGCCAGAGCAGCTGTGGCTGCCCCCTCCCTGGAAGGGTTCAAGGCCAGGTTGGACGGGGCTGGGAGCAACCTGGTCTGGTGGAAGGTGTCCCTGCCCGTGGCAGGGGGGTGGGAACTAGATGGTCTGTAAGGTCCCTTCCAACCCAAATCATTCTATGATTTTATGATTCTATGATAACTTAAAAACCTGAAATTATATAAATGTAAAAATACTTGATGAGAAAAGGCATTTGATGATTCATATGTACATAATTAAGTGTTTTATCTCTTGTGAGGTTACCACCAGCCTGTTATCAGTCTGAAATTGCTTGTGCTGATGAGAACAGGTCCTAACTCTCCATCCAGAGTCATGACAAGGGCTGCTGAGCTCTACACCACTGATTACAGCCATGCAGCCGAGCAAGGACAGCAGAGCCAAGCGAGCTAGGAGAGGCATCCTACTCTGCTGGAAGCATTACCACTAGCTATGCAAACTTTCCTCTTTACATGTACATTTATGTGTTTACATATCCAGCACCTCCCTTTACAGTGTTTACAGCACACCTAGCTGGCAGAGAGGAGGATCTGGCCTGAAAACTCCTAGTTCCAGGGAAAACAGCAATTAGCTAACTGTCAAAATCCAGATTTCTTTCAAGGAGAGGAAAAGCCAAACAACAAACAACATCTTTTTAGTTTCAAATTGAACAATTTTGATGTGGAAACTGTTAAAGAGCTAAAGGTGGCACCAAACAGTCCTTTTACAGCATTGAAGTTCCCTTTAAGGGTGAAGCTAAACAAATGTTTATGGGCTTACAAAGACCCTATTGCTACAGCTCATGAGCACGTCATAAATTACAGGCATTAAACGCCATAAAAAAAGAAAGAGCACCAGCCCCACTTTACAGTTGGAGAACTCAGGAACAAAAGCAGGATTAAATCACTCAACTCGATGTCACATAAAAAATTCTAAGCAGCACGGGGAAATGAACCTACATTTTTATTTCTGAGCTAGCATCTTGAAACATTTCAGCATGCCTTCTTGACTGTCTGACCTTCCCTATATCTTGTCCCAGAAACATAAGAACAGTATTTCATGGCACTTTGTGTCCTTTTTAACAGAAAATTTAGATGTATCTTTTGTAGACCATTTGCACCTCAGAATTAAACATAGCCTTAATTTCCCCAAAATTGTAAGAATTCTTTTTAAGTGTGTTGTTTTATTTTCAATTGCTGGTCCTCAGTATAAATATGCTGTTGTTTTCTTCCTGCAGAAATGTGACCGTACAGTTTCTGGGAACATTCATTTCTGTCTTTTGCATGACCCTTACTCAATGGCTCATATTTTCAGCATCTGCTCTCACCACACAGTAAGTTAATTTTGGCAGAGACAGATAGTAATGGGAGTTACAGACAGAACAGAGGGAAATGATTTGGCAGCACTAACTGAATAGTATGTGCAAAGTCATGCACTCAAGTAAATCCTGTTCTTATCATACCTCACATATTTAAGGAGAAGTTCAAGTGTTTAATTGGGTTGTAATTAGATTTTGATTAAAAAAAATTACACACTGTCAAATGGAAGTTTGTGGCAAGATTCGAAGTAAATGCATATTCAAGGATCCAACACTTCATTTGGGTTCAAGGAGTTCTCTGGCAAAGAGTTGCTCATCACCTTCTATGTGCAGCGTAATTGTGTTCGATGCATAGCATAAAACTCATACTTCTACAGCTCATCAGGATGAAATGCCTTTAATATATAATAGTTGCTTGGATGCACGCTCTATAATTACGTTTGCAGACAGATGCTATTAAAAATGTGGGTTTCACGTGCTTATAACTTTAACTCAAAATTTTAAGGATAAAACATTCCACCAGTGTTGCCAACTTGCATAATTTCAATCACAAGACTCAGAGTTCTTGTCAATTTTTGCTATGTTCCATCTCCTGAAGTCATATGAAAACACAAGATCACTATTTTCATTTAAAAATAGTTGTGAGAGTGGGGAAAGGAGGTCAGCAAACTTTTATCCATTGCAATGAAATGTGTGAAAATATGAATAAATGTATCTCAGTGGCTCCAAAACTATAAAGCAAATAAAAGGAATCCCCAAATGTGTTATTTTTAATAAAATGGCATATTCTGGAAGGCTGTACTGAGAATACTTTGTAATGGCGTATACTCCATTATAGTTTAAGCTTTCTCACACATTAGAAGGAAATCATTCTCTTTTTCTCACCACAAATGCCTTTGAACATTACATATACACACAGGGTGATCTGCCAGGAAAATCCAGCTGAGATCATAAACAGGCTATGTATTCAAATATTTAAAATATATGAGCAAATGTAATCAGAAAACTGAAGACCTTTCATTTTCTTTTTACAGCCTCAAAACTACATACATTTAAAATAATCTTCTGTTATTCCATCACAAGAATTTTAAATACCAGAATTACCATTACAATGTTTCAATTAGCAGAACTGTCTCGTTCAAATGCAGAACTGGAAAAAGCTTGTGTAGCCTGAAATATATTATTCTTTATTTATGTTGTAGGATGGTCTTGAATCCCCTGCTGGATGAGGATATAGACCAGTGCATTGCACTGAGTGCAGTGACATGAGGAATAGAGAGGAAATATTTGCAGGTAGAAGGCTAGAAAGATTCCCTGCCCCAAGCCATTGACAATGATGGGCGAAGTCAGTGGAATTTCCACCACGTGGTGTGTCTGGAATATTTCTCTCTTTAAAACTATTTTACTACACAGGCACTAACATTTACTATTAAATCTTCATACCTGCACACACCTACAAATTTCTGTAATTCTTGCATCTTATTTTAAATGACATACCAGGACTGGAGGCAAAATACTTGCCTGACATTTATTCTTTCTACATGCAAAGTCAAAAGAATCAAATTATGTTTTCCCATCTACCTTCAAAGATACAGGCTTCAGATAAAAAGCATGGGCTATGCAGTAAAATCAGAAAGCCAGCTGTTTGCCAGCCAGACCCTACCACACAGAAGCCCAGTAAATTCTGAGTAAAAGTACTAAACTTGTAGATGGTTCCTTGTGGTTGATCTCTCTGGGACCTGATAAGGATTGAGACTGAAAGTTGTCCTGTGTTTGAGGAGGTTACAGACCTTTCTCCTGGTGGATACTGTGGGATGAGTTCAGGTTACAGGCTGTGCTTACCACAGGGATGTGATTACATCGTCTCACGTTTTCATGAAACTCACAGAAGCTCACACTTAATATGATTGAGTTCAAAAGCGATTAGGGAGAAAGCTGACAGTTTGACTGCACATTTGATTCATTTCCATATGTAACCAGGCTAGAAATCCATCCAGCCATCCCACCTTCTTGTCCCCACCTACCCACATGTTTTGCAAATGATAGCAATTGCTATAAATGAGATGGGCTCTATCCCTTATCTGCTGCTTAACTCTGAA